ATTTATTTAATTTGTGTCCGGGAAAAATATATTTTGGACATCCGATATCGCACCTGAGAACGCAGCCGAGAGAAACGATAATTGGAAGGTTGCCAATTACAGGTACAGTAATTATTTTCAGGAAAGAGTACGCGAGATTAATCAAAGATGGCGGACTCGATCATTGGAGGAGGAAAGAAACAAAAAAAATCGAATTAGGTTGAAGGGAGTACTAAATTTTTTCCTCCATGTGAAGAAAAACCAAAACCGGGAAACATTTAGGAGATGACAGCCATTTTCCTATTTTCATGAGATCGGTTCAGCTTTTCTTAGGAACACTCCCACACACCCGGGGTTAATGGGACACCCGAGGACTGTTAGGATGAAGATCTCGGGGTATTAACTAGATGGATGTTAGGATGGAAGTCTGAGAATTTATCCGTATCCTAGAGTGTAAAGCAAAGACTCTCACTCAGCTCTCACCCTTATTCACGGTCACCAAACTTGAAACCAAAGCAAGACGTGTGTGTGTTAATAAGTTTATTACGTCTCCAGGCAACAGGTGACACCAATGTAGATATTCATAGCTAGCGAATTAAAGCCCTCTGGTAATGAGCGGTGTGTGGAGGAGATATGAGTGAAAAGGAATATTTATGGAAATTTGATGGTAATCCATCCCATTAGGTCTTGAGGGTAATGGATAATGTACAGGCCGCTGATGTATGTATGTACGTTGATGCGCCTACAGTACACACTTACACAGGTGTACACATTCACGCAATATACACCTACACAAATCTAAAAAAAATACATGCACACGTCCCCGTACACAAATATAAAAGCATACGTACATGTATCTACACCAAAATACGTACACACATACATATATATTCATACATACACCACAACACACGTGATGTTTCCGTTCCTGTTTCCCCTCCCTCCTTCCTTCCTTCCATCTCATACCTGACATTGTTTTGACTGTTTATTGGTGTGTGTTGTCTGGAAGCGATGTGTTGTGTCTTGTACAGTACAGTGGCGGTGGCGAGGACAGGCTGAGTGGTGGTAGTGGGCGGCCGGGTGGTGTGAGTTATGGTGATGGGTGGCAGGGTGGAGTGGGGTGGCTGGGTGGTGTACAGTAGGTGTTGGGAGGCCGGGTGTACAGGTGATGGGTGGCAGTGGTGTGGGTTATGGTGATGGGTGGCAGGGTGGTGTAAGTGGCTGGGTGGTGTACAGTAGGTGATGGGTGGCAGGGTGGTGTAAGTAGTTGGGTGGTGTAGGTTCGGCGACCATACACTTCCCTTTAACAGCAAAAATATGAATTCTTAAAAAAAAAAATACGATTCAGATTAAGAACATTAATAATAATAATAACAAATTAATAACGAAAAAAATAATCAAAATTAAAGGAAAATTCTGTCTGGTTGCACAAAGAAGAAATCCTGGAATTTCCTGACTTATAACCTCTTGTTTTTTGTTTATTTAGCGATGAAGGTAAGAACAAACCAACAAGGGTATTTGAGTGTTATCAGAGTCCATTGTTGGTCGTGTGTGGGGGGAGGGTACGTGTGTGTGTGTGTGTGGGGTGTACGTGTGTGTGTGGGGAGGGTACGTGTACGTGTGTGTGGGGGTGTACGTGTGTGTGTGGGGGGGAGTGTACGTGTGTGTGTGTGGGGTGTACGTGTGTGTGTGGGGGAGGTGTACGTGTGTGTGTGTGGGGTGTACGTGTGTGTGTGGGGTACGTGTGTGTGTGTGTGGGGGTGTACGTGTGTGTGTGTGTGTGGGGGGGGAGGTACGTGTACGTGTGTGTGTGGGGTGTACGTGTGTGTGTGTGTGGGGGGAGGGTACGTGTGCGTGTGTGTGTGTGTGTGGGGTGTACGTGTGTGTGTGTGGGGGGAGGGGTGCATTGTACGTGTGTGTGTGTGTGGGGTGTACGTGTGTGTGTGTGGGGTGTACGTGTGTGTGGGGTGTACGTGTGTGTGTGGGGGAGGGTACGTGTACGTGTGTGTGTGTGGGGTGTACGTGTGTGTGTGGGGGGGTACGTGTGTACGTGTGTGTGTGGGGTGTACGTGTGTGTGTGGAGAGGTGCGTGTACGTGTGTGTGTGTGGGGTGTGCGTGTGTGTGTGGGGGAGGTACGTGTGTGTGTGTGGGGTGTACGTGTGTGTGGAGGGTACGTGTACGTGTGTGTGGGTGTACGTGTGTGTGTGGGGAGGGTACGTGTGCGTGTGTGTGTGTGGGGTGTGCATGTGTGTGTGTGGGGGGGTACGTGTGCGTTGTGTGTGGGGTGTACGTGTGTGTGGGGTTACGTGTGGGGTTGCGTGGGCGTGTGTGTGTGTGGGGTGCGTGTGTGTGGGGTGCGTGTACGTGTGTGTGTGTGTGGGGTTGTACGTGTGTGTGTGGGGTGTACGTGTGTGTGTGGGGGTGTCGTGTGTTGTGGGGGGAGGGTGTGTACGTGTGTTGTGTGGGGTGTACGTGTGTGTGTGTGGGGAGGGTGCGTGTACGTGTGTGTGTGTGGGGTGTACGTGTGTGTGTGTGGGGGGAGGGGTGCGTGTACGTGTGTGTGTGGGGTGTACGTGTGTGTGGGGGGTTGTACGTGTGTGTGTGGGGGAGGTACGTGTACGTGTGTGGGTTGAGGATATTAGTGAGTATTAACACGACACCAGCGGATTAGTTGATGGATTCTGAAGCGTTTTAAACACGTATTTGTTTTCTTGCCTACTGATAACTACATGACTATACCTACAGTACTGCACCGCCACACCACGACCCCTCGCAACCACCACGACCCACCAGGACCACCACGACCAACTTCATTACCACCACGACGCTATTACCTGACCCACGCTGACCCACGCCTTTACGACCCACCAGGACCACACGGCCCACACCATTACCACCCCATTTACATTACCACACACTACCCAGGACCACGACCCACGCCATTACCACCACGGCCCGCCAGAACCACGACCCACATTACCACCACGGCCCTAGGCCACCACGACCCACATTACCGACCCCGCCAGGACCACCACGGCCCACGCCAGGACCACCACGGCCCACGCCAGGACCACCACGGCCCACGCCAGGACCACCACGGCCCACGCCAGGACCACCACGGCCCACGCCAGGACCACCACCACACAACAGGTACCACAACATCCTGTCATCCTGTTTGTGTGTACAGTACAGCAGGAGGCAAAACAGTGGTAGAGGAAATAACGCTTTAAATACCACACACGGAAGCCACTTAAGGCCACTCAGTTTCCTCGTTTCCCTACTGTAATTTTGAGGGCTTTATAGACATACTTTAAAAAGATCAGACCAATTTGTAGGTATTTTTTTAGTGTCGTGTTTACCTTGACACCCCTCTCTCTCTCTCTCCAACTCGAAGAGTTAAACAAGCCTTCTGAGAAAAAGCTTTTTCCGAAAAAAAAATTAGTACTAACGCGCTTTTTCAAGTTCAAGTTTAGAAGCTCCAACAACTTTCCCTGAATACGAATTCGCAACCTTTCGATTTACAACAGGGACCTTAGGGGGCTAGGAAGAGTGTCCAAACAACTTCCGCTTGCCCGGGAATCGAACCCATGACATCTTGCTTGCGAGGCCAGAGCGGTACCGCTTTTACCACAAGTGCCCCTGCACTGTTTCCAAGGGTTGTCAATTTTATAGAGCGTCTCGCTCAGACGAAACGTGTCGTTTCCACCCAATCCACGTAAAATAATTTAATTTAATTTTTAAAATATATAGTATCGCATTTTAATAAATTGCCTAAGTGTAAATATTTGTTTATTGATGTTGATATTCGTAAATACATCTGATGTTTGTTAACATTGAGCGGAAAGGCTGGCACCAGTTCTCTACGGGTGAGTGACAGAGCGCTCCCAGAAAAAATAAAATAATTAGAAAACTGATGCACGAAATTGACAGAAAAGTGTGATCCGTTCGTCTAGTTCTGTTGACATTACTGACGAGAGCCGCGAGGGGAAGTTTGGTCTTGCTGTGTTGACAAAATACCAAGGCAAGAGTTGGCCCATCTACTGCTTCGCTAAACAGGTGTAGGCTGCGTGTCCGGCCAGTACCTCTCTCTCTCTCTCACTCTGGAGATAACAACATTATGGTTTGTGTTTCCATAACTCCTTAATTCAGTTTATGCTTTGTGGAGTTTTCTCCACCTCCCCACACACACCACCAGCTGCAACTCTATTAATAAACCGTTTATTATTATTATTATTAAGACAAGAGTACCACTACAAGAAGTTATTACTGGAAACCAAATTTGAGCCTCGCAGACGGATACAACACATGATATTAAAAGTTGCCTTACAAAAATAGATATACCCCCTACTACACCCACTCCGCTCCCTCCCCCTCCTGTTTCAGTCACTTTAATTTGTCATGGATGTTTCTTTGTTTTGTTATAAATTTTATTTTTACGCCTAATATTACTCAATTTATTTAACACATTAAAAAATATTTTCTTTGTGCCGAGTTTTTTATTATTTTTTTTATGTAGACTATTTTAGTTATTTGTTTATGTGATTTTTTTTCATTTATTTTTGTTTACACTATATAAACCCCAGTCGAGGTCAGGCTATACCATTAGAACTGGGGCCCAGTCGCACTAGGGCCTATTACGATTGGGGTCTATTAGAGTTGGGCCCATTAGAACTGGGATCAATAAAGAATGGAGCCTATTAGGGCTAAGGTGTATGAACTTGGTTCTATTAAGATTGGTCCCCATTAGGTCTGGGGCCTATTAAAACTGAGACCTTTATTATTATTATTATTATTATTATTATTATTATTATTATTATTATTATTATTATTATTATTGGTGTTGTTGTTCTTGTTGCTGATTTCGCGGGACAAATACAGTGTCGCTTCTTTGACGCTCGGGAAGGTGATTGGCTGGGCGTGACGTGGCGGCCGACAATTGGTCAACCCACGCCAAAAGGGTCAGGTATATATAGTGGGTGTTGATGTCTGCAGGCTGTCAGAAGTAGAGTGGCATCGGGCTGGTTCACACGTCTCAACCACGAGCTAACAGCAAGACCTTCACCTGCCTACGACTACTATCACCTAATGAGTTAAAGAAGTTTGCTGGTTGAGTTCACTCTTTTAAGAAATATAATCAAGAACAGATTATCTTTATCGGTTAAGGTGGCTGTGAAAAGAAGTGAGAAGAATTTTGTGAGTGTTTTTCTTCATTGAGTTATCAGGTGAGTGTCTGTTTGTTTGTTTCTTTTAATTGACTTTTACTAATTTTTGGTTAATGAGTTTTTTATCTCTACTGACGTGAGTACTATTCTGCCTTGAGTTATTATGTTCACACACACACATATAAGTACATACTTTAATAATTGTATACACTCATATAAATGCAGACATAAATATATACTTGTAATACACACAAACATACATACACACACATGGTTTCATATATACAGGTACAGTACATTACAGGCGTCACTGTGTTGTTGGTGCTATTAACTAGAGCAGGTGAGTCAATTAACCTTATGATTTTCTTTGGGCATTACGAGAATTTCATTTTTTTTCACTAATTACGACAAAGTGTATTAAACTACAATGCAAACGTGACGCAATTTTCACCACTAGCTGTACTTTCCATCTCCAGTGTTTGGTGAGTGAGTGAGTGAGGTGGTGTTTGGTGAGTGAGTGAGGGAGGTGGTGTTTGGTGAGGGAGGTGGTGTTTGGTGAGGGAGGTGGTGTTTGGTGAGTGAGTGAGGGAGGTGGTGTTTGGTGAGTGAGTGAGGGAGGTGGTGTTTGGTGAGTGAGTGAGGGAGGTGGTGTTTGGTGAGTGAGTGAGTGAGAGAGGTGTTGTTTGGTGAGTGAGTGCGTGAGGTGTTGCTTGGTGAGTGAGTGAGGTGTTGCTTGGTGAGTGAGTGAGGAGGTGGTGTTTGAGTGAGTGAGGTGGTGCGTGAGGTGTTGCTTGGTGAGGTGTTGCTTGGTGAGTGAGGTGTTGCTTGGTGAGGAGTGAGGTGAGTGAGGTGTTGCTTGGTGAGTGAGGAGGTGTTGCTTTGTGAGTGAGTGAGGTGTTGTTTGGTGAGTGGAGGAAAGGGGGTGTTGCTGGTGAGGAGTGAGGTGTTGCTTGGTGAGTGAGTGGGGTGAGGTGTTGGGGTGAGTGGAGTGAGTGAGGTGTTGCTTGGTTGAGTGGTGAGTGAGTGAGTGAGGTGTTGTAGTGAGTGAGTGATGTGAGTGAGTGAGGTGTTGCTTTGGTGAGTGAGTGAGGTGTTGCTTGGTGAGTGAGGTGTTGCTTGGTGAGTGAGTGAGTGAGTGAGGTGTTGTTTGGTGAGTGAGTGAGGTGTTGTTTGGCGAGTGAGTGAGTGAGAGAGGTGTTGTTTGGCGAGTGAGTGAGTGAGTGAGAGAGGTGTTGCTTGGTGAGTGAGTGAGGTGTTGTTTGGTGAGTGAGTTATTTACGTATAAGTTAACTTCTTCTTTGTGTGGACTAACTTGTTTGACGCCTTCCTGTACACAGTAAGAGCATGAACGCCATCCCTAATATAGCTGCTGTAAGTACCGATGATGTTAACTTTTTCTCTCTCTCGTTCAGGTACAGTATTTCAACATCCTGACCTTGTAACTTTATTTCTAGACAGCGAAGGAAACATTTAAGGTTTTATATTTGATCACACTCCTGTCAATACACACTGTATAGGTGAACTTTTACTCTACACAGTGACGATAGATCGGAATACGTACACAAACACTCATCCAGTCTCATATTTACCCATAGAAAGTTCCCACTGAAGCCAAAACAATCATTATAGAGAGAAAAGTTACAATATATAACCTAAATAGGACGGTAATTACTGTACACCTTCTCTGAGGAATCACCTGAGCAAATGGAGAGGTGGGGGGGAGGGGGTGGGGAGAGAGGGGGGTGTGAGTTAACTCTCCTACCAATACACTCTAAGTTTAATTATATCTTCATGTAGATTCGTTCCACACACTCGTTTGCTCATCGTAACGAGATCTTGTGTGACGGAGGCGTTGTGAGAGAAGAGAGAACTCACGGCTTTATAATTAGCTCTCAGGTTAATGGATTCATCTCTTACGATCAAGGAGGGAGAGAATAGTTTGTTTATTTACAGTAGAATCTTAAGAGATATATTGACGTTATTATCGTTATGTTAGCTGTGGTACTTTATAGTAAGCCAATTAAAGGGGAATTTTTAACTAGGAGGCTGTGGTCACGTCTACTCTCACTATAACCAATAGGATTAATCTACTCTCACATACCTGGATGTATAGAAAAAGAGACCCAAATAAAGGTTACATGTTAATAATTATCAGCGAGGTGTGTGGGGGTGAGGCAAGTCGAGGTAGAGAAGCTCCCAGGGGTCTACCTTCTCACCACCATCTCGTATATTATTCCGTCTATGCTGTCCTCCCCGCCACGACTTAGGTTGTCTTTCCGATGCTGCGGACGCTTCACGGGTTATTTTCCATCGTTTTTTAGATTATTTTTATTTAATTGACTAAATTAAAGCACATTGAAGGACTTTTTTCAACGGGAATTCATTGATACTTGTTAATGATTTATATTTGTGAGTTATATCTCGAATATGAATTAGCTAATGGATGAAGGTCTCGCATAACGTTGGCTGGCATTTATTTCCAGCCTTCCTCAATGCCTCCTCTCCTGAATTCATTTATTCCTTTGATACTTGTGGTCTTATATCTTGGTGACCAGGCCAGGGTCTCGCCTCACTCCACTGTTGACGTGTACAATACTGACTTGTCCACTCATAACTCATAATAATTATCGAACTGTGGCTTCAGATCTCTTCCACCGTGTCCTTCTCTCTTGCGTGCCGTATTCTACCATACTTATACAACCTTCCGACTTCCTTGAGTGCTGAAGAGTGTCTGTCACCCACTTAAGTCAGTACTGATATAAAGGGAATGTTAACTTTTGACTACATGACTCTGCTATCCAAAGGTTCTCCAGTATATTTTTAATTCGTCATAACCTAACCACCCTTAAGCTGATATAACCTAACGCTGACCTAGCCTACCCTAATGCTAACCTAGTCTAACTCTGACATAGCCTACCTTAATCTAACACTAAACTAACCTGTTCTAACCTAAGACTAACACTGACTTAACCTATAACCCAACCCCCCGAGGTAGCGTTAGGTGTTTAATCATCGTGTGAAATAAACTGGGAGTCAAACTTCACATGAACCCGATACTCTGATATAACACTACAATATATAAAGTTCTGTAGTGGAGTGAACGGACACAATTGATGTAGGTGTGTCAGTGTCAGCTCTGTGCTTGCATTTTGGCGGGCTGACTGAGTGTCGCCATCAAAGTATGTCACTGAGGGCTGATGTAAGTGGTCCTCCAGTCCTCTGTGTACGAATCTCACTAAAAAGAAAATTAACATGACGTAAAATGTTGTGTTTATAGGTAGAGAGAGCAGCAGGTGTTAACAAATAGTGCGTCATGTGTCGTCAGAGAGAGGGAGAAGGTAAACACACACGCCATAATCCTACTCGTCGAAGATGTGACCCTGTGCGTCAGAGACTTGGACTTAGGAGTTCATTAAAACATTGGACTTACACACACAATAAGACCTTCGGATTTAAATTTACAATAGGACTTCTATATATATTCAAGAAAACAGTTACATATTGAATTGAAAACGTCGCTATCCAGTCCAATAAATTAAAATATTATTATTTTTTCTCGGCTAAACAGAGGCGGACTTTAGCGTTAAGACAGAATAGGGTTTTTGGACTTGAGGCAGCCAGACCGTCAGCTGCTGTTGGACTTAAGTTAAGGTAGAAGGAGGTGAAGCGAGCATAAGTGTTGTCAAGTGTCGATACTTTATGTGAGTTTTAAGGGGTGTGTGTGTGAGAGCATCTTGAATCTAACCTGAAAAACACTGCCCAAGCTTTTATATACAACATAACCTAACCTAGCATAACATATCCTAACCTAACCTAATACAAAACTAACATATCATAACAAACTAACTTAACATATTCTAACCTAAACTAACACATAACATAACCTAACACCCAGGTAACGTGAGGATGATTAATAAACTTCAGGTAAAAAAAACGGAGGGGGTACTACTCTTAAAGTGATCTATATATACTTCAAACACAGTTACACCCTCAAATTAGTCCAGTGATGTAATGATTCAAGTGTGTGAAGATTAGAAATATTCCAAAGATATAGAGTATGTTGGGAGACGTAGTTAATCAGAGAGACTTGTTAGTTATAAAATATACCGTCGAGTAGGGAAAGAATCTATTAATTAAACGACCCCAATTTCAGTGTAATCTCTTATTAATATTGTGTTGTTACGCGATAGTTTCAAATGTAGTGTTGTTGTTGCTATCACTAGTTTACACAGAAATAGTCTTTGAGGTCGCTTATCAAGTGTGCGATTACTGAAAAAAATATGTATGGGGGGGGGAGGAAGGAGTGTAGGAGGGAGGGAGGGTATGAAGGAGTGTAGGAGGGAGGGAGGGAGGGTATGAAGGAGTGTAGGAGGGAGGGAGGGTATGAAGGGGAGTCGGAGGGAGAAGTGTCATGCACCTTCCCCTCGACCTTACACATTCCCCTAAACGGTATCTGTTATAATATACACCGGCAATTCACTGGATATATTCGTCTTGATCAACACACACACACACACATCTATTCAATACGACTGAGTACATAACCTAACCACTTAACCAAATCAATGTACTACAGTGTTTACGATCACGTGAAGATTAGCCTCAAGCTTATTCCACTTTAATATTCACCTAACTTAACCGAACCTGACCCTTCTCAGCGATACAGTATTTAATCATGAGGTGAAATAAGGTGACGGGCTAATCTTCACGTGATCCGACATGTCCAAGATTAAATAAATGAAAGAAGTGGACAGAATAAGGTAAACAATGGTGTGTGTGTTGGAGGTGGTGGAAACCTTGCGTGAAGTCATAGCATTTAACAGTAATCTAATATCTGACCCTGTATAATAACAAGTATGACGTCATCATTATACCATGAATCACACACACACACAGACACACACACACGTTGCATGAATTAATTTTATTCTGTTTGTGTATCGTTATCATCAAGTTGTTATTATCATGTAAACAGCTCACATTGATAAGGAAATGATTATGTTACTTTCCCCTTCCCCACACCTTCCCCTGCCTCCCCTTCTCCACACCTCCCCCTACCCCACACCTCCCTCTACTCCACACCTCCCCCTACCCCACACTTCCCCTTACTCCACACCTCCCACACCCTCCCCGACAACTTATTGCAGAGTAATTTCCTTCTGGTGCCGATGTGTGAGAGAGTTAAGAAGAGGCGGTGGTAATGAGAGAGAGAGAGAGGGGTCACTTTTATGTTTTGTGTATCATCAGTTTTTTAAAGCAACATCATCAAAAACACACACACACACACACACACACACACACACACACACAGACGAGGTCAAACAGAACATCTTTTTACATTTACTTTGTTAATGCAGCAACTATATATAAAGACGAACATAATTTAGTGTTTAATTATATGAAGGACTTTTAAAGGTCTGTAAACACGTTCTCTAAGTTGGTCCATACACTAGAGAACGCTTAGGGTCTGTAATCACACGTTGTTAGTAGGTCATGGGGAAGGAGGCGTGAGGACGAGTAGATGTTATCAGAGACAGGTAGAATTACATGTTATGTACAAATGCAAAGTAACGCAACTGCCAATTAGCCGCCCCCAAAAATAAAACTCGTGCAAGGTAGAGGTATCCAATTACCTGTATGTCTACCTGGGCAGACGAGTCTCCCTTCCACTGGAGCGCGCGGGGGAGGGGGGAGCCAAACGAGGGTGTCATTAATACAGGTGTGAGGAGGGAGGGGGGGGCCTGCTTAATCCTCCTACAATTGTATGAGAGAGAGATGGGGAGAAGGTGATGGAGTGGGCCAAGGAACCAACCTCACCACCTCCACACTCGGCCCCAGTAGCGTGACCGGGGGTGTAGTAGTGTAGGAGGTGAAGGAAGGACGGAGATGGTGAGTAACGCGAGAGGTGAGGATGCCGCAGAGTGAGGGGTAACACGTGCAGCGCTAATCACGTGACAGGTGAGGGTGAAGGTGGGGTATACATGAGAACACAACACACTATAGGCTGAATATTTATTTTATTTTTTTAGCAGATCCTGTAGGTCTTAAGTCTGTGATATTAACAATGTTCCCCTCTCTCGATACGTCAGCCGCTTTACATGAAAGTTTGTACCTTTTTGTTAATAGTAAATATGAAGCAAATTACTTTTCTGTCAGTTTGTGTGTGTGTGTAACTCACTCCAACAAGTTTCCAAGATACATTATGGTGTGTGATGATACAGTTATAGTACAGTATAGGTTAGAAGTTGTACAGATGAACGGTGATGTGTCGTCACCTGCTGTGTCTCCCAATTCCTCTATGATCTAGGTCAGACATCACACGTCCTGTGTTATGTATAGTATTAATCAATATTTTGTTACCTTGGTCTAAAGTCACGCGTGTTCCGCAGGTGAAGCAGAATGTCGCCAGCGGTAGTGTGGGCGGCGGTGGTGTGTCTTGCTGGTGCTCTTCACGCTGCCCAGCCCGACGACCCCCTTCCATCCTGGGACAACCTGCGGGGTTTCCACCTCTTCTCCTCCAGAAACCTTCCAGACGACTCATCTACGTCGCCCAGGATGCTGGAGTACGTCCTTGACGAGGTTCATGATCCTTGGGTCCTTGTCAAACATCACCCACATGTAGGGCGCGACAGCACCTGGTCACAGCGCCTCGTCAGCGACACCTCTGGTAGCAATCTTGTGGACCGCCTGCGTCGCCAGACTCGAGGGAAGCGCCATGAGGTAGTGGAGGACACCATGAACTACCTCCCACAGGAGCACCGGAAGGCCGAGATCATGAAGCGAGCCATCAGTCTGTGGGTGACTCTCCACCCCCTCACCTCCGCCTCCGGCTCCCACGCCTCCACCACCAACACCCAGGACGGCGACGCCAAAACCAGGCGCCCGTACGGTCAACGTCTCCGCTGGGGCAGATAACTTCGTACTCTCTCACGCCCACCACCACACCTTTTACATGCCTACCACCACTACCACGCCTGTTACACGCCTACCAACACCACACCAGCTTGTTGTATGTCCACCATCATGCCTACCACACGCCTGTCAAATGACCCTCAATAACAAGCCCACCACCACGCCTTCCACACGCCCTCTGCCACGCTTGCCACATCCACTACCACGCCTCCCATACGCCTACTACCACACCTGCCACATGCCCACATCACCACCCACAACCTCCCTCCCCCCAAAAAATCCCACACCCACCACCATCCCCCCTACCATTACACTACCCCCATACCACCACCACCACCACACCATCTTCCATACCACCACCATACCGTCTCACATGCCACTACCACACCTACCCCACCCACCACCTCACCACCACCCCCACAACACCCACCTCACCACCACACCCCCACAACACCACATCACCACCACCCCCGACAACACCACCACCACCTACCGCCCACCAGAGGGACCCTCAACCATCGCGACTCAACATATCGTGAAGAACTTGAAGAGTCTTACTTGGTGTTTCTCACAACTTTGAAGGTCCACAGATGAAACTTGTGACTCGAAAGGTTTAACTCCCCCGTCTTGGACCTGAATGGACGAATCACGTGAAAATTAGGCACCCCAGCTTATTTCACCTGACGTTTAAACACTCTAACGCACATTTAACCTTACCTAACCAACTCTGATCTAAGCTAATGTAATCTAACCTAACCTAACCTAAGCATGATGGTTATAATCATCAGATGAAATAAGTTTGGGGGCTAATCTCAACTTGACCTACAAAAAAGCACACACCTTAAGGGTGATATTTTACCCTGATTGTAAAAGAAAGAAAATACCTGAACTTGTTTCTTTCAAGTCGGAATCAAACTCAGATGCTGATTAGAAAGAGTGACCAGGTGAGTCTCCCAGAAATTAAAGTATATATTTTTTTTTTCAATATTGTTTACAAGATTTTTTTGAGAGGTGTTTTATTCTCAGCGCCATAACTTTAAAACGCCGTTCGGAAGAAGAACAAGTTTTTCAGCACCATAATACAGGGAAGAAGAACAAGTCTTTCAGAGCCATAACACAAAGAAGTCAACATGAAGTTCTGAAAGTTTACAAAAAGTTATCATCGCTGAAGTTATAGAAAAATCTCCATTACTGAAGAAATTCTTGAGATAATTTACAATATTTACGCGACTTCCACCTGTCTCTACCTAGCACCTGTCTCTACCTGGTACCTATCTCTCTAACATCTGTCTTTACCTGGCACCTGTCTACCCAGCAACTGTATCTCTAACACCTGTCTCTACCTGGTACCTATCTCTAGCACGTCTCTACCTAACACCTGTCTACCTGGCACCTGTCTCTACCTAACACCTGTCTCCCCAGAGTACGTAATTAGAGGCTGGATACCTGTACTAGTTTTTCATATATTTACCTCAAGAGCATGAATTACACATCTCAAAGTCTTGGAGATAATATACCATAAGAAGGATTCCTTGGTACTGTTTTAAACTACAAATACATTGATACAATATACATACATATTTACACGTATATAAACAGTTTACAATGTAGTATTTATGTATTGGAAAACTTTTATATCTCTTCTATAATTTTGTGTGTATCAGTTTACTGCATTATTTATTGTATTTATCGCATATTTATTATAATAATTAATCAGAAGGACAATGATGTATCCGTATCGCAATAAATATAAATGAATTATTAGTATTGGTTTTAGCCTCGTGTGATCTCTCTCCGGGTTTGGATTACGTAAGACAAGGAACATTTATGTTGTCAGTATAGAACCCTTATGTGTGTCTATATGATGTATCGAGGGGAAGTATTTCAACTGCCATGACTTTAAACGTCTCTCATCAGAGTTAACAAAACAAATGCCGATCGCTATCTTATTTTAAACCTTTGAGGACGGTTTCTAGTTGAGGCCGCTTCTTTGACTGGCAGGAACATCATTTGTCTGAGCCTGGACAGAATCACCACTGTCCACTGAAACAGTATCATTTCCCTGAATGGTCATTGTTGACGGGCATCTTGTAATACTGTCGGCATCACTCCAGCTTTTCAGATGAAGTCAGTTCTGCTTAGATGATGGACATGCATTCCTATGACACGTACGTGCTTATACGTTTGGTACTGCTTAAATCATATTATTTTAATACAGTTTAGATCTCCCTATCCTGAGCATTTTGAACCCCATACAGTATATACCTGGCTGGAAGGAAGGTGTGGGTGTGCATATTTATGATGTATGGGCCAAGTGTATGATTGATTTTCCACCGGTCTGCATTTTAAAAAAAGTTGAATGTTTTTAAACTGAGACGTGATTCTGATTCGTTTTTATCAAGGATTTAAAAAAATAAACTTTGTTTTGCTCTAGCACGTCACTCTTTGTTACCAATATGACAAGATAATATAACTTATACATATACAAATATTACAAGATAATACAAACAAGACAATTCAGTAGGCTTCAAAGTTAACTAAGCCTAAAGATTATTGTGATTACGGCTATTTGTCTGCAAATACAGAAATAAATGACATACAGTATATGAATATGTATGAACACAATATTAGGCTCCTAGGATGGGTGAAACTTTTTTTTTCGATTTTCTGTCAATCTTTTCACTGGCACAATCTTTCTTCAGCATCAAGCAGTTGTCTGCCATCATGTTCACATTCCACCTTCCTTAATACCTCTTTTCCATTTCCTTAATGTCCTGGTGAAATCTTTCACCTTGCTCTTCACTTAAACTACCTAAATTTTCAAGAAAATAATCTTATAAGAAGGTCGTTCAGATATCAAGACGGTCCGTCGCTCGTAACGATCTTCAAGAGTGAAGTGCTTCCCCATCTGGAGTACTGTCACCCCGTCTGGTCCCCGAGATATGCTAGGAACTGTCAGTTGGTTGAAAATGTTCAAAGGAGGGCCACCAGACTGGTGCCTGCACTTCGGCACCTCAACTACCCTGAGAGATTAGAGCGCCTGAACTTGCCTAGCTTATACTACAGACGGGCAAGGGGGGACCTAGTTGAGGTGTATAAGCAACTCACGGGGCACTACTCAGTCCAGTGTCCTTACTTGGAGCTGGCGGACGCTCGCCCCACAAGGGGTCACAGCTCAAGATTGAAGAAGCCCCAAGTCCAGAAAACTGTGAGGGCAAACTTTTTCTGAGTGAGAGTTGTGAACTCTTGGAACAGTCTACCAGAGAGTGTTGTGACGGCACCGAGTGTGAGCTCTTTCAAGACCAGATTTGACCAACACTGGAGCAGGTTCAGGTACATTCAGGAGCCGGTGCATGCCAGTACTTGTCAACAGTGCGTAACAGAGACGTGACCGATCGCCCAAGCTGCTAACGAGCCGATCAGTGATGAAGAGGATAAAAGAAAGAAAATAAAAAGAACAAGAGAAATAAGAGAATTCCTCACTAATATACCTCTACCAGGTTCATTCTGCACACCATCGAATTTACTATTTAACTTTCACTAAAAAGCTGATGGAGTTGTATGTTTACCAGTAAATTAAATTAAAAATAAATAATTAATTTATTGCATTATCATAGTTTATTAGCCTATTGTACCATTTATGCACTGGACTGGTATTTATTTATTTCCCTTTATTATCTATATTTTATAATATTTCTGGCTTCACTGCATTTTCACTTCTAACAACTCAATTAATTAATTGAATTATACATTCAAACGCATGGAAGTCGAATATAGTATAATGGTATTTATCAGTGGCCACACCAGCTGTGCTCACTACGGAAACTCGGCCTGTCATAATTTCTGTTCTCGGTTCTTTAAATCATTAAATGCGTTATTAGAGATGTAAATTAAATAAAATCCGTTATTTGCTGCTTTTTTAATTTCTCCACCGTAATAAAGCAGTATTAAAGTAATTAGGTCCTGTATTGTTGCATATTTATATTAGGCTCGTCGGTAAAGTGTTCAAAGATGGCGGTCATAACAAACTGGTTGAGACGCGCGTCGGCGTTATTTTTGTTTGTCTTCTTCAGTATTTCGATTTGTTTCAACACAGTCTTATGTGAAGAAGTAATTCGAGGCATTGGTAAGTTGGTGATGTCAATGAATGTTTTGTTGTGTGAACAGTGAAGGAGAACTAATGGTGGTGAGATGGTGTCAGTTTACTGCTACCTTTTACTTTTATCCTCTTCACCACTGATCGGCTCGTTGGCCGCCTGGGCGACCGGTCACGTCTCTTTTACGCACTGTTGGCAAGTACTGGGCATTCGCTGGCTCCTGAATATATCGAAACCTATTTAGGCGTTGGTCAATTCTGGTCTTGAAAGAGCTCACACTCGGTGCCGTCACAACACTCTCTGGTAGATTGTTCCAAGAGTTCACAACTCTCACTCAGAAAAAGTTTGCCCTCACAGTTTTCTAGACTTGTGGCTTCTTCAACCTCGACCTGTGACCCATTGTGGGGCAGACGTCTGCCAGCGCCAGGTATGTACGTTGGACCGAGTAGTACCTCCCTGAGATGTTAATACACTTTGATTGGCTCGCCCCTCGCCCGTTTGTAGTACAAGCTAGGTAGTTGCAGGCGTTCCAATCTCTCTGGGTAACTGAGGTTCCGTAGAATAGGAAGGATATTTCCAATCAACTGACAGTCTCTAGTATATCTCGGGGACCAGATGGGGTGACAGTACTCCAGATGGGGAAGCACTTCACTCTTGAAGATCGTTACGAGGGACGAACCGTCGAGATATCTGAATGACATTATAAGACCTAATAACTTGGTTGCCCGATTCACCTTCGTACCACGGCCTGAGAACTTAAGTTCATTTTCAACATACACACCCAGGTCCTTTTCGCATCTGGTCTCTATTAATGCAGTCTCTTCATCCTGTTGGGACATGTAATACACCTCCTTACTATTGGTGCAACCCAGGTGCATCCTTTTGCACTTCGTGACATTGAATCTTAGAGCCATTTCTTCTACCATTCTTGAAGCTCATAGAGAGCTTTCTGTAGCTCTTCACCGTCTGTTTGGTTCTTAATTTCCCTAAATAACTTGGCATCGTCTGCAAACATTTGTATGGAGGAGTGCTTGTCACAGTTACACATGACGATTTCATGCCATTAATCACCACACACTGCTTGTGGTCATAGAGAAAGTCTCCGATCCATGCTAGGACACTTCCCCGAATCCCGTATCCTTCCAGTTTAATAAATTAGCCTCTCATGGGGTATGGTATCAAAAGCCTTGGCAAAATCTAGGTATATGTTGTTGATATTACTACCCTGTTTCAAAATTTGGGCCCTGCACCATATTTTCTTAATAAATATCATAAAAATAACAGCAGAATGCAGTATATGTACTGTATATTAAAGGGGTATCACACTGGGCATAATTACAGCCGATCTTGGATCTCATTTTTCCGTTATGGGTAAAAAAAACTTCCATTCACATGCTCAGTTGTACCATCTTTTGTGTATTGCCGTTTGCTCGAAACAAAGCATTAAAAAAATGGTGGGTCATCCAAAAGTGTTGTCATTTTAAGCTTTTCTTGAGATACTGTATTATGGTTGTCTGAAATCCAACAACATTCCTTCACTTTATCAACAAGGGAAGGTTCTGATTCCTTTGTCCAAATAATTCATGAAATGTTATTGGTAATTTTCATTTCTATTTATAAAAAACAAATATTCTTATGATAATATATTTGTACAGTATTTAAATCACTTAAAATTGTTTCCTTATAATTTATTTTAATGAATTATTGGATCTCAGTTTTCAGGTGGAGAATTTGACCGAGAACGGCGGTATTGCCGTTTTTCTCCCGAGGAATGTGGAAATTTGCCCAGTGTGATAGCCTCTTTGGGAAAACTGTATCTATTGTAGATATTAAGTTTTGTACAGTCCAGTACTTGTTTCTGATGATACTACTATAATTTATATTTTACTGTATTTCAGATCCCAATACGATTGCTGATAGAAATTCCAAACCAGAATTAAGAAAAGAATCTGTAATGGGTGATGAAGCAAATATTGATGGTAAGTATTGTGACAGGATTCTCTATTCCATAGTATTGTGTTGTATTAAATGTGAGGTACAGTCTCACCCAAAAGATCGTTAACTCTCCCAGCCAGCTATTGCTGCACTGCCTGCTTCAGATGTATAATCTTGAGTCTGTTACTTCGAACCCTTAGATTCATTCGTATCGGTTTCATGTTCTGGTTGGTACTGAGACAGTTTCAAACATCTGAAACAGGCAGTGCAGCAATAGCTGGCTGGGAGAGTTAACGATCTTTTGGGTGAGACTGTACCTGGTTATACAGTACGTATACGTAATGATAAAACCATCTTCATCTTACAATACAGCATCATGCTGTGTGCATTGCAGTACCTGTATTGTATATTTGTTCAGTGGTTATCATATACATACTCTGTTGTAAAGATATAATTGTAATACAAAATATATTTTGTTTTGCTATAATAATCATTATTGTCATCCATTTACAGTGCAGTATGTCTTCTGTATTCTTTCAGTTTATGGGGGCTATAATTTACATTGAACCATTTATTATTGTTGTTATTATTTTTGTTGTCAGCTTTCCAATTGGAATGTATTGAATTTTCAGATTATCATTTGATGCGTGCTGGAAGAGAACTGATAGTGAGAGGAAATGAGAAGATCCAGTTACATGTGTTTTGTCACAAAGGAGAGCCCAAGACTCTCACAACTCTCTTCAAGACTATAGAGGTGAGGACAGGTTACAACTTGTAGATAATTGGGTGAAAGTTTTATGATACAGTACAGTTATATCCCTGTTAGTTAAATAATTGATGCAGAGCTATTCTAGGATTGAGAGATTTCCTGGCATTAGTGAATGTTTCCGTATCTAAACTACACATCTGGCATGGAGTGCCATAGTGTAGGGGGGTGAGTTGTTAGTCTTTTTTTTTATTCTTTCTATCTTTATTTAATTCTTTCTGTTATCTGTGTCTTAGTTTTTTACTTCTTATACAGATAGCCTGTAACCTCTTACACAGGTGAATGCAACGTGGCGAGGTCTGGGGCATGTGGGTTTGTTTGTATTTAATGGTATCAAGGTATGGGGAAGAAACAAAGGTAAATACTGTAGGAGAATGATAACCCCAACATACAATTAAGAAAGTTTATTTAAAATAAAGTTGAATACCTGACACTTTATCAGAACATACACCTATAAATCACCCCTTGGGTTTCACTCAAGACTTGGCTAAACACCGAGACACTCCAAAGACCAATTGGCCTCACTTCTACGTCAGCCACAAATGTTCACGTCAACAAGACCAATGTTCTGTCAAAAATACTTTAGGTTACTGGAAACATTCTATGATAGTGACACAACAAGGACTGGTCATCCGCACTTCAATTACATTACTACTTATTCTAACACTTCATGACACTTCTCAAACACCCATCACAAGATTATTCATGTACAGTAGTTATTATTACTCAACACTTGGGGTGTAGGTTACTTTGGCATGCACACAGTTATCACGAGTCAGTGATACATCCTTGCCTCTCCTTATCAATTTTATACCTTTTTACACTCCTCAAATCACAGGATACATCGGTATTCATTTACCAGGTGGAAGTCAAGATACCTGAGACAACAATTACGGATACATACAAGATGTTACCACACCACGGTTTGAGCCAAGAACGCCATGTGTTTTGTACAGGGGGCCCCCCAAGTTCGCTGATTTTTACTTTACGGTTCTCGGTTATTCGCAGATGACACCCTGGATGTACCCAAGAATGTCTGTGGGTAGTTTTAAAGTTGCCGTCATTTTTGCGGCTGGGACAGGGAGCCATTTGTTCTAGAGACATTAATTTCCTTTACCTGTATTGTATATATATGTGTGTAGACACACACACACACAAAACACATACAAATAAATAATAATTGGAAAATACTCTCACAAATAATCCGAAACAAATTTATTAAAAATGTGACAGTCTACCCTCAAGTCCGTGCTTTATTAATAAAGTTCTGTAATAGAGCACGGACTTGAGGGTAGACTCACATTTTTAATAAATTTATTTCTGATTATTTGTGAGAGTATTTTCCAATTATTATTTATTTGTATGTGTTTTGTGTGTACACACACACACACACACACACACATATATACAGTATATATATACAATACTACAAGTAAAATAAATAATTGTCCTAAGGACAAGCACATAAAGAGAATATACATTTCTTCGTACACAAGTAAAAATGTACCCCCCCCCCCATCTTGAGAATCTAACCCCCGCGAATTTGGGGGGAGGCCCCCCTGTATTCACAACACGCCGGGCATTTACACTCGTGGTGCGGCGACTAAGTTCCGCCTCGTCTTGGGTTCGACCCATGTCTCCTGGACACGGCCACTCTCGTCGGACCATCAACTCAAGATCTTAATCCCAATGAATGAAAGACATCCTTTGTCAGACATCCTATCGGCCACTGGTCACCGTCTCCAGCAGTTCCAGCAACCCACACAGTGCCTGGTTGATGAAGAGGAAGAGTGTTCGGAGTGAATGAAATGGAATCAAATTACAAATGACACAAAATACATTTTGTACAAGGAAGCAGAGAGCGCATGGACATAATTACATTAACGCATAAGACTTCAATTGCGTGAACAGGAACACTGAAATATTCAACACAATTCAGCTAAGTCAAATTCGCTGAATATGACGGTGAGACACAGAGCAACATACCTAGTTGACGAGGGGAAGAGCATTCAGAGTGACCGATTCAAACTCCGCGCTCCCATTTTATGTACCCTGAGTTACTTAGCCCGGAATTTCATAGACATATTTATCGATCTCATTTACGGTACACATTGGCTTGTGAAAATCAGGTTATGAGCTTATAATATTTTCTAAGATTAACTTTTATAATCTAATCAGTGTTTGAGTTTTGCAATGCAACAAGTTAAATCGATGTCCAGTACACAGAATGGTAATACATTGTCGGCAGTCACAAACCACAACATCCGTTCTGCAGGAATATAATATTACACTTCAGCGTTACTACAATTGACAGCTTATTCCCTCAAGATAAATGAGTTTCTAAAATACAAAATTGACAATAATTTCAATACACTCATTGGATTTTCTGAGGTCTGTAAATCAAGGAAATACAACTTCAGTTTCGAATTGTCATCTCGTAACTTCTGCGACCCCAAAATCAGCTGCTTGCTTGGCCCTCATAACATCGTCTTGACACTATTTACACTTCACACAAAGATAGACGAAGCTTTCAAAATATCCTCAATACATCTTGAATGCTTCAGCTCACGGTAGGTATATCTGACTTATGGCTACTCATACAGGTTATAGCATAACCTGAAATTTACATTACTGGAGGACACTTCAGGCAGAGAGAGAAAATGAATGGTACCTCTCACTAGGAGCAGCCCCTATGGGTAACTCCATTGGTTTCAGCCATGTTTTGTGGACGGTGAGCATAATATGAATAATTAAGGTGGATTATACTAGCCGCAAGCCATTGTGACTCCATGACAATTGCTACAGAGGTTAAACTGCAGTTGACAGCCACAGAACAGTATTTATTTATTTATAGAAAATTGGGAAAAATGAAGGATCAAAGCTCTTTCCCTTTTTACTCAATGTTAAATCTTTCCGGTGTGATAATGAAATTCCTAAGAAAGGAAGTGGAGTCTATGTTCATATCCACTTCGCTGCCAGAGGTACACTGAACACTCTACATCATCCACTTTATCTGTCATTGCACAAGGCCATCCATCCATGCCACATACATACGCACGCCAGACTTGGGAACACAAAAATCGTTGTGGCTTTGAAAGTTTCTAAAATCTGAACCTTACTTTATCCTCTTTGCCAATGATCGACTTGTTAGCTGCTTGGCGGTCGGTCACATCTTCGTTACACAAGTCTATCATAAGTATAATTAATTTATCATGAGCTAAATAAGCCAATCTGTGTTAGTGCAATATGCTGGCTGTTGTTTTGAACACATTGTGCCTCCTCGTTGATATGGATGCCCTAATAAAATGTACCCATCCGAGGAGCTAGACATTTCCTTACATATTAGGCTTTTTACTGTGTTTATGAAATGGTTCACATACCAATACGAAACAAGGTAGATATCATTTATGGTCTGCTACACTCAAAAAAGAGTGTGTGGAATGACAAATGAATTTTGGCTATCTATCACATATGGAGGCTTTAAATGCCACTCACTGTTGTGAGTGCTTGTTTTAACTTATGGCGATTTTAAAAATTCACTAACTTGTGATTCACTAATTGGGATTAGACATGTATGTTTTGAAGAGAAGTTAACTTTGTGAGTGTATGATTTAACCCCTTGTAAAGATCTCATTCTGTACCATAATTTTAGTGTTGGTATTGACCACTGTAGCTAAGCAGTGTATATTTACATAATTTATGCTGTACGTGTTAGCAGTTTCTGGAAAAACTTTGACGTGTATTATTAATTGTAATAAAAATATTTTTCTTTTAAAGCTTCTGAAATTGATGGAGACAATTTTCGTCACTATGAAGGACCAAACTCATCATATGTCAAGCAAGAACACCAAGAAGCCTCGTGGTTGTCCTTTTACCCTTGGCGACTTAGAACTTTCAAATTAGACTTATATAAGGAATCCAGTTGGGATTGAAACAAGTACAAACTTTAAGATTGGTCTGAGGATACTATGTGTTATTAAACATTTCGCAGTTGGTTTAAGAGTTAAGTAGATAAGACGTTTTAACATCATTTTACTTATATTCTTATTGATTATATGTTGGTACAGTACTGCACAACACACATTATATGCAAAAACAGCAGTGAGGAGTTACCAAAACCAGTACAGTGGTAGGTGACAAGGTTCAAGAGTGTCAGGATGCTAGGAGTTTAAGGAGATAGGTTACAAAATACATCACCCAATCATAGGCATCCCATGCGGTCACATGACAGTAATAATAGCCAATTGAGCTCATAAGCACTCTGGTTTAACCAACCCAAGCTGCTCACACGTGTCAGCTCATGATACAATTTCGAAATTTATTGAATGCCCAGAACGGAGAAATTTTTCACCCTCCGAAAGTGCTAAATTCTTTTTCCAGGTAAAGGAAAGTTCTGGGGATCGAAGATTCTGGCTAACATTGCTATTAAGTGCTAAAGTCACACTTAACACCACATTATCTAAATATATTCTTTACTTTTTTTTCCTGGCTACTAATCAGCTCATTAACTGCTTCATGTAGTCAAGAAGATAACTTAACGCTTGTGTTCGCCATTTTGTGATGGAACTACACTACACCTTAGAGTAAATTGTTTGCTTGTTTTCCTGTGGTGAAACTAGATGAATCATAGATCAAAATATGGAGCTTTCAATGTCATCATTTCCAGAATTATGATGGAGATGAAAAGACTTTTAATATAAGGGAAGGTAACCAACAGCACATGATCTTGTGGATTTTGTTCAAATTTCATACGAAGGTAATTAAAGGTATTTATAATATTTAAAAAAGTCAATTACTGTACACTGTTCCTGTAAGTTTTAAATCACCTTTTTATGCATTTCTTAAAATATAGACTTATCTTTTCATATATAAATATATAAAAAATGACAGAATACTTAACTATACAGGGGGTTCCTAGGTTATGAATGGCTTCTGTTCCTGAGGACGCTCTAAAGTCGAATATGCTATGTGTGTACCTTACTTTTTATTTTATTTTATCTATTTATATTTTATGGATTAGCATATCAGTGCACAGGCCAATGACCCACATCACGCCTGGGGTGAAAATATAATAATTATAATAGTAATTAACAAAAATTAGTGAAAAACGAAAGAAGATTGCACCTGCTAAAAGGTCCTGGGGATCCGATACTACGTTGTTTTGCGTGGTATCATGGACTACTTTCACGGCGATCACCAGCTTGTCTGGTCACGCTTACGCCTCTCGGATCCCCGGGACCTTTTAACGAATTTTTGGTCTCTTAAAGTTTGGCGAATTAGTACCGAAACAATTTTAAGTGGAATGACGTAATACGAGGATGCACTGTATATACAACCTATACTGTATATCAGAAGTGAAATGGATATTAAACAATTTCTTGAAAATTATTGCATTTTAAGTGTAAAGTAATATTTTAAACCAGATATATAGTCCTTAATGTGCAAACACACATGTTTTTCTCTTCATATATTATTACAAGAGGGTCAGAACCCCCTCAAATGTAAGAATGTGGCATAACTTTTTTCTTTTAATTTTAAACATTTTCTTTACCATTGTTAGTTTGTTAGGTCTAAAATTACATTTCATATGCACTTTACTCATTTTATCTCAATTTGGGGCTGAGCTACAGCAGTTTGAAATTTTAAATTTTCTGTCCCCCTCCAAAAAGAGGGGGAGCATAACTTTTTGAACCGTAACTCTGATTAATTTGGAGTTTGCTACCATAGACTTCGCTATACACCAAATTTAGGCAAAATCTATGAAGGTGTGGTGTTGACCACTGCATGATTTGTCATGGAATGAGCCCAATATAAGTGTGAATTTTGTTCAGTACAATATAGGTATTGAAAGTAGCCCCCCAATCATCATCCACCTCAAGATTCATCTGCTACAGTAAAAGTAAATGGATACAGTGTAAATGGATACTGTTAACTTTAATATTGTTTTGGGAAGGAATTTTTCAGCAAAATGATGGTTGAAAACCCCCCAGGGGGGAAGATATGCATAATTTAGAATACTAGACTGGTCAGATAGCCTGGAGCCCTATATACTGTAGTCCAACTGTACCATATGATAATCATTTCTTTTTGCACTTCTTTGTATGCATGATTGTGTTGTGTGTGCATGTAAATGAGTAAAAAAAAAAAAATTTAAGTAAATTACATGTACTGTTTCTACACAAAATAGTTGAAAAATACCCTATACTGTATGCACCTATGATAATTGTTCCCTACTGTACTGCACCATGATCAGTATTGGCTCATGTATAAAAGTATGGATTGTTAAATTTTTGTACTGTAGTCTGCCACTTACCAGGATCGGCAACAACTCCCAATACTACATCAACGACCAAATTAAGTATGAACAGTAGTCTGATGAAAGTAATTAATTTTTCACTAATGTATAATTATGAAATGATGGGATGTAAATTATGAAGAGACTGGTAACTTAATGAATTCTTTATTAACATTACATTTATTCATTTTAGTATTACAATTAAGTCTTTAAAATTTGACACTTAACAAACTGTAATTCTCAAAAAATCACAATTGTAAAGGACCTTCCAATATAAATCCATTTTTAAGAAGGCAGTGGATATTTTGCTGTGACCGGTAAGTTTCTGCTAACGCTATTTTACTGCGAGCGTACTCCGATTGCCTAATCGTCCATTACTGGCGAACAATGTGAGAACTATATTCGACCGTGACTCTGGCGTCACAGAAACTTATTGTAAAAGAGGCGACATTTAATAGAACCTAATAGTACCTGACCGACCAAAGAAACCTTCCTAGCTGTGCGGCAGACCTCCCGTCATATTAAGCAGAACGTACTTGGCCAATCAAAGCGCACTCACTGTAGGAACTTAGCTGATCACAGCAAAATATCCACTACGTTTTAAGAAAGCAGTACAATTGTTTATGATACTGTACTGTTGCGTTAACATAACCTGCAGTCTTTCTCCAGCATTTGTCTTAACATTTAAAATTACAAGTTTTACAGACTGTGTTGTATAATCTACAATACATCCTACAATGATGACTTGAAATAGTGAGAGAGAAACATTTGCTACTTCTGTCGGCAAAGAAGTGAATTGGAAGAAAATTGTCTTAACAGTGCAATAGAAATTTATGAAAAATTAAAAGTGTTCATGAAAGACAACAATGTTGGTTCTTCAACTGTCTGAGATATATAAAGGTTCAAAATGAAGAATTATTTAAGTTTTTCAAAGCTTTAGTTCCCAACAAAGATGTTGATAAACAAAAAGTTTTACAGCCTAAATTACAGACACTGCAATATATGAGTATATTACAGTAGTCAAAATGAAATGATTAAAAGATCACCCGCTAAAAAATTATTCGGCACCCTTGGCTCTGTTACCCCCCGCAACAATCACTGGTACAGAAGCTGTGATTACGTGGTGTGGTGGGTACCCCTGTCTCTCTCTCTGTATGTGTGTGTGTGTGAAAGTACAGGGGTACCCACCACGCCACGTAATCACTGCTTCTGTACCAGTGATTGTTGCGGGGGGTAACAGAGCCAAGGGTGCCGAATAATTTTTTAGTGGGTGTACATCAGCCTCCAGATCAATATCACTGAAAAAAAATTATTATTAGCAGGTGTCAAAATTGGTTCATTAAGTAATGCTCAGAGACACCAGCATGTCCTTGGTCCTGAGGATTCTGAATATTAAAAGTTTTACTGTACAGTAATCTCAATTACTGTACAAACATATGAAGTATAAGGACTTATGTATTATTTATCACTATAGTACAGTTTGCTTGATTGCAACAATTAATATGATATAAAAAATTATGTTTACATTTTTTCAGAAATATGATAAAAAATTAAGTTATAAAATCTATTGCTGTTTAGTAAAGGCATTGTATGAAGAAAAAATATATTATTTTTGGAAAGGATATATATACCATACAACATGATTTAAGAAGAATTAAAATACCGTACAAAGTTGCATGTCAAACATTTAATTTACAAATTATCATTAAATACTCTGCAGTTATTAGTTGATAAGACATTCACAGCTGGTACATTTATATGAATTACCATAGCTAAATGGTATGAATTAGTATAAACTATTTAAGGTGTCTATGGATACGACGAGAGTGGTGAGTGCGAGCTTCGTGTAGTGCCTCCTCCAGTACGTTTGTCATGTGAACTAGATTGTTGGGATCTGTCTGTAGAAGTAATTTGACACACTCTGATCGTTCTTCAATGCCAGTACCACTTTCTCCAGCTTGGAAGCCTAAAAAGTATGAGAATTCATAATTAATACTGTCAGTAAAATTTATAATACTGTATTACTGTCAGGAAAGAAAATTTTAAACCCCTTCACTACTGGATGTCACTTTTAAAAATTTATTTGGTTAACATTATTCTTAATAGTGCTGCCATTATGAACTCTCCATAAAGTGTATGTTTCTTATACAGTATATTGAGTGATGAGGTTATACAATAATGAACTTGGATGGGGAGAAAGAGTTAAGTGTTATGACAGAGCTCACTGTCCAGAAGTTTCTGTTGTTCTGGACCATCAAGTGCAATATTTAGTCTAGTAAATGTAGTAGTGAAGGAAACACAAGTCAGAGATGAGGTTTATTCCTGAAGTTTCGTCACAAGACTTGTGACGAAATATAAGGAATATAGCTCCATCTCCGAGTCATGTTTCCTCCACTACCATCTGTCCACTATGAACAATGATCATTAGTCTAGGAAAATGACATGCAAATGAAATTTGCATTGAGTGGTAGGAAAGGGGGAATCATTTCAATATATAGAGGTTCCAAATTATTATAACTTTATTAACTTACTTCGGGCAGTGTTTTCATCTAAAGAGAGCTGCAGTGTAACAAGTGGTTCAGCAATGTGAGTAAGCGTTCTAGAGCCAACAAGGATGTCAAATCTCCATTCCAAATTTCGGTAGTGTGGTGTCTGAAAATAGTATAATCATGAAGATAATTAAAATAGAATTTTATGTGCACATATTCATATAACTCATCCAAATGAACTTGTAATGATATTGGCACAAATACACACACATTAGTGAAGTATTCATTTATCTGAGCCAGGGGAGATACCTGTACAGTATAGCTATTTCATCTATTGCAATATTAACAAAAAGAAAGTTTTGTAAATTACCTGAACTCCCATTGTTTTAAGGTACTCCTTTATATCTGTTTCATTGTCAGTGTAGGCATCTGTCAGCACCTTTACTGCATCCTTAGTAAACCCTAATGAAGTAGTGATGTCTTGGAACTCCATCTTAGAGGCAGCTGCTTGCGTACAGTGTGACAGAAGAAAAACAAGCGCTCGGATGGCATCTTCCACCTGAAAATCACAAAGTGGTTTATATGCTTACAAGTACCCTCTGAGCACAATATATATAGCGAAAGAACTTATTATTGTATAATGTGTAAATGAAGTGATGTTTGGCTGATTTCACTAATTGTGCTATACTGGACAAAAAGACTTCTGTTCTTGGGAATATCCAGTACTGCACCGAGAAGTCTGTTATTGAGGAGGTTTACTATAAAAATACCTTACTGTCATCAAGATGCAGTATGTTTAGTCACTAATTGCAATGCTAGAAATTATAAAAATGCAGGACAAAACTGTACAGGAAAGAGATCTTTACTAACAATGTTCTGGCTTGGCTCCTCACTGTTGATGATGCCATAGTGTCCAGAGACATATAATGTACAGTACAGCACTGTGCGGTATTCCTAGTACAGTATGAAGTTTGCTGCCTTTACTGAGAGCATGAGAACCTTCCTTCTGTATGAAAGGAAACAATGCAACTGACATGAGAATTGTGATGTGTGGCAGTGAAACATGGTCAGTGAAAGATGATGACAAAAGCAAACTTTAGCAATATGAAATGAAAATAAACAGAGGTAGGCCAAGGTGGTGTGAGCATGTGGAGTGAATGGAGAAGATCCATGAGTAAATGTGCAGGGAAGGAGAGTTAGTGGTAGGCCAAGAATGACATGGGGGAGAGGCGCTAAGAAAACTATTCAGGAGAAAAAAAAAATTAAATCCTTGTCAGTAAACGTGGAGAAGGCAGTTAGCACCAAAAGGATTTTATAAAATTGCACCAAATTTTCAGGTGCAATGATACTGAGTAATAAAATCAAAGCGACAACATTGTAGTAATTTTTTTTTTGTTAGCCTATCCTTCAATCATAAGTTACTCGTTAGTGAACAGGGCATGATAAATAAAATATTTACATTAGTTATGGTGTCGTCAGATCTCCTGTTGTAACTAAGTTTTGGTTCACATTGTCTGCTATGCGGGAGCGTCCGTGTTTTTTGTTTACATGTCAAAAAAATGAACGACGATCTCGTCGGGTGTGTGTTTCACACTGTATATTGGATTAAGTTTGCTAATTTTTCTAGCGGTGTTGTTTGGGTGATAGCGAGAAAATTGAAGACAATGCACAGGTTAAGAAGTTAGGTATGGTTAAGTCAGGTTCTAATAGGTTCTGTGCATTCTTGCTTCTATTTTTGTGTTCAGTATCATGCAAGTAGTATCCAATTTTTTTTTAATTCCATAATTTATTTCTGGTTCTAACAGTCTCCTCACCCTTACCAGTATTGCCAAATCTTGTTCCGGACGAAAAAATTTCCCCCACTATGTTTTTAATTAACATGGGATAATGCCCCCACTATGTTCTTCACTCATACCTGAAAACGTATTTACCTGTAATGGTTGAACACCAAGTTTATTTGCTGCCGAGCCAAAAATTCTGGGGTTGACCCCTTGCTTCAAAAACTGGGTTGCTAATCGACAAAATTCCTTTACTACTTGTGTCTCTTGTGTTATCAATAAGGACAGTTGATGTCTGTGATCCTCAGATATTGTTAGTGGCATTTTGTCGTTTAAAAGTGATTCCAGCTTTTCAATGGTGAGGGAGTGGTCTAGTGTCGTCCCCCCCTGGCCAGGATCAGCTGAGTGTTGTTTACAGTATCGTGTTTGACGCCCACCCGGCGGCTCTGTCCCGACACTTGCTTTTCATATCTCAGGTAAATTAAAATGCTACTACAGGTAGTACACTGCCAGTTTGACAATTAAATAAATATTTTTCAAGCCTAATATTTATGGATGTTAGTAAAACTGGAATTGAGTTTTAAAACTAGGCTAAAATTTTCCAAAATATTCAGAATTTGCAAATGCCGGAACGATGCGAACAGGGGAGTCTGGCCCGGCGACCAACTAGTATTTTTCTACCTTATTTATTCATTTTCTATTTAGTATGAATATATAATCATCTGGCTCAGCTTAAAGTATAATTAATTGCAATAACTAAGAAATATACATTACCTTAATTAGAATAAAATTTTACATGGTAAGATTTGCTGTTTCATTGAAGACATTGAAGGTAGTAGGTAGTAGGCAGGGAGGTACTACCGCCAGAGAAGGTAATGGTAGACCCTGCTACCATATGGCATCACAAAATTTTTGACCAAGTACCAGGTTGCTGAGCTAACTTTCTGCCTCATGTACACAGTTGCAGGGTTTCAATTGTTTCTCTTACTTTAACAACACAACTTACATATATCATTTCTCGCAATTGATATTTTTGTTTTAATTTTTGTATTTATTTGTGGCTCTAATTATTATTATTATTATTAATAATTATAATTATTTTTATTTTTATTATTACTTATAATTATAAATTTTTATTATAATTTTCTTTTATTATAATTGCCATTTATTTTATATATTTATATTACTTTTATTATTATCATCGTCATAGTTATTATTATTACTGTATTTTATTATATCTCCCCCTCCCGCCTTGATGAGGGTCATTACAAATTACCAGTGCCCGGGTGGGCTGGTGTCGAAAAAAAAAAGTTTCGGTCATCCCTGTACACTATTTAGATATCCAACCTAACCTGGCCTTGTCCCAGACCCCAGGAACTATATCTAAACTGTGGGGGGGGAGGCTTCGTCCCCCCTTTCTGGTCGTGGTTAAATTCCTAAGATTCCCCAGATGACCGAAACTAAAATGATGCCATCAAACTATACCATAATTACGTGAGTAATAATTGTATTTATTTTAAAAAATATATATAAATTTTAGTTTTTTGCACTTATCCTTATAATTTATACATACTGATTTTATGCAAAGAATTCATATTTTCTTCATTACACCAGCATATAATCACGCAAAAAATAACTAAGATGAGACTGTTTGAAAACTGCTAGATGTGACAACTGTTTAATATGATGTACAGTACTCAATAATGGATGCCCCTTTTGTAACGAGGATGGCTGGCTCTAGGGCCACCTTGGCATGAATTTGTTTAAGGTTTACATAAGATCATAAGAATGGAGGACTCTGCAGTGAGCCTATTGGCCCATACTGGGCAGTCCAATTTACACCCAACCCCCATTGCTCATATATCCATCCAACCTATGTTTGAAGCTATCCAGCGTATTCAAGCTAATGATATTTGGTAACTTGTTCCACTCGTCCTACTCTGTTTCCAAACCAATGTCTACCTATTTCGTGCCTAAATCTAAATTTGTCTAATTTTATACCATTGTTACGAGTTCGCTCCTGATTGGATAGTTTGAGTACCTTTGTAGTTTCCCCTTTATTCAGCCCTGACTTCCATTTATACACCTCTATCATATCACCCCTCACTCTACATCTCATGAGGGAGTGCAAATTAAGATGCTTTAACCTGTCTCTGTACTCAAGGTTCCTAATGCCCGGGATTAGTCTTGTCATTCTCCTCTGAATTCTTTCCAAGGATTCTATGTCCATTCTGTGGTACGGTGACCAGAATTGAACTGCGTAATCCAAGTGAGGTCTCACAAGCGCAAGATATAGTTTTAGTATGACCTCGCTAGTCGTGTAACTAACATTCCTTTGCAAGATATAGTTTTAGGATGACCTCGCTAGTCTTGTAACTAACACTCCTTTGTATGAACCCAAGTACTTTATTAGCCTTGTTTCGAGCAAATACTCATTGTTTACTTGGCTTAAGATTCTTACTTATCATTACTCCTAAATCTTTCTCGCAGTCGGATTTGTCAATAACATAGTTGTTCATCTGGTAACTGGTTTCCCTGTTTACATCTCCTATACGGAGTACTTTACATTTGTCCACATTGAATTTCATCTGCCATTTTTCATACCATTCAAAAAATTTGTTTACACTAGATCTTCCTGTAGTCTTGCGGAGTCCTCGTCAGATTTAATTACACGCCCTATTTTAGTGTCAACAGCAAATTTACTTGTGTTGCTGTCTACGTCGATATTTATGTCGTTTATGTATATAATAAATAATAATGGTTCAAGTACTGAGCCTTGGGGAACTCCACTAGTGACGTTGCTCTAATCGGATTTATTGCCGTTAATGCTCACTCGCTGTTTCCTGTCCTGTAGCCACGCCCTAATCCATTTTAGAAGCTGTCGCCAACACAACAACCACGCCCTGAGTTAACGAGTTGCTTGACCCAGTGTCAAGGAATAGTCCAAGAAGACCAGACAACTCGCCAACTGCACTGGCGAACCATTACCCCAGAATACGATCCACAAATCGATTAACATCCAGGTTCCCAATTACTGCTGGGTAGACAGAGGCAAATGGCATAAAGAAACTTGCCCATAGTTTCGCCCTGCCTGAGGATCGAACCCGGGTTCGCTTGCGAGGCGAGCATGCTGACCATTACACCACAGGTCGCCATGTACAGTACTTAAAGAATGGGAAAGTCATTACAGTATTTGCAGCTAACACACACACTTTTTTAGTTCATTACTTCTATCCTCTTGGCCATTGATTGACTCCTTAGCCACTTGGGCGATTGCTCACGTCTCTGTTACGCACTGTTGGCAAGTATTATGCATGCACCTGAATATATCAGAACCTGCTCCAGTGTTGGTCAAGTCTTGCCTTTGATGAGCTCACACTCGGTGCGTCACAACTCACTCTGGCAGATTGTTCCAAGAGTTCACAACTCCCTCTCTGAAAAAATTTGCCCTCACAGTTTTCTGGACTTACGGCTTCTTCAACCTTGAGCTGTGACCCCTTGTGGAGAGGACGTCCACCAGCTCCAGGTATGTACATTAGACCGAATAGTGCCCCCCCGAGATGTTTATACTGTACACTTCGATTAGGTCGCCCCTCGTCCGTCTGTAGTATAAGCTAGGTAGTTGCTAGCGCCCTAATCTCAATGGGTAACTGAGGTTCCATAGAGCAGACACCAACCTGGTGGCCCTCCTTTGGACATTTCAATCATTTGACAATCCAGCATACCTCAGGGACCAGACAGTACTCCAGACAGGGAAGCACCTCACTTTTGAAGACCGTGATGAGCGACTGACCATCCAGTTATCAAAACGACCTTCTCATAAGACCTACAAGCTTCTTTGCCTGATTCACCTTCTCACAATGGCCCGAGAACTTAAGTTCATTGTCAACATACACACCCAGCATTGTTGACATACATACACATGCATGCACGCACACAAAATGTTTACAGAGGTTGCAGTGTGAATTAAAAGATCGTGTTTGTGTCACAGAGTAAGATTTTTTTATTCTCATTTGTTTCATGTCCCCTTTGTGTTGGAACCAGACGAGCTGAGTCATAGTCAGCCATATATGTAGATGAGGTAAATCCTGGTGATGGGACAGTTGTAGTTTGGAGAGATATGTATAACTTTTAGTTTTATATTTCTTTTACTGAATTTCTTAAAAGTAGACCCACTCTTACAAGTACTGTAGAGGGTTCCTGTGAAACTTTGGATCAAACCTGCAAAATAATGCAACCACAGGCACTTGGGGCTGGCCTGAGTATCACCTTCTAAGAAAGTTTGGGTAACAGTTTATTACCGTTTAATTAATATTATACTGTATATTACTAAATAATTGTCACTCTTACAGGGGTGGACTTCTGGCGTGTGGTAACTCTTGTCAGTGCTGTGATAATCTTCTTTACTGCTGGACATCTTGCAAAAAATGTATTCTTCCATTATACCACAGGAATTAGTATTGGAATACTGGGGTCCCTTCTTATTCTTGTGTATATTGTAGCAAGACTTATTCCAAAGGTTAGTTTATACCAGTGTGTAAAATTATGAGTAAGTACACTATCCTTTTACACTTAAAGGTATAGGACCACTGTCAGAGAGGTTTAACATCGGGCTGTATAATTATGTTTATTAACTCATGGGGTGCTCACCAGTAATAGAGTTAATTTGTTTTCTTAATGGAGGAGTAGATATTGGAAAGTCGTGTCCAAGAGTAGGGAAGTTATTTCATGTTAATGCTGTCTGGCACTGGTTTATGAGGGGCAGCCTTCCGGAGGAGTCAAATTGCCCGAAACAAAAATATGAGAAACGGGATGTGAAGATACACAATCAAGCAGGTCCACTGTTATCTAATGTGGACACTGGGTCCGCATTAGATATGGCTCATGCAATACTGTGCCATCAGGTTCATGACAGTTTGGGCTACATTTTTCACCCATAAACCACACGTTAATTTTTGTGGTGATAAGATGTCTCATGAAGGATGCCCCTCATACAGTACAGTAGTGTACATATACTGTGCAGTATTCTTCTAAATTTTTGCCTTGTGTACAGTAGATTTTGAATGTTTACCCATATTTTTTATATTATAGTTATTATTATTATATATGATATGATATTAAAAGGATATATAGCACTGCAATATATTCTGAATGAATTACTAACTGGTGCCCTTGTATTGTGTTGATTCATAGTTGATTCATGAGCTTGTACATCAATTTGTTTCACAGAAATCTGGAGCAGTGACATTAATGATTGGTGGTTGGGGCCTCACGGTTTACCTCATCCAGTACTTGTGGCAAAATTTTGTTTCCATTGTTAAAGAGAATCACGCTGTTGCAGTAGGTGAGTAGCCGCCACATTTTGTATAATAATTGTGTGATTTTTAGTGTTGACTTGGGTAATGGATGATAACTCTTAACACCTTGTAGATGGGCTTTAGGAAGAGCATTCAGCTGTAAATCTTTGTTGCTTCAACATGCCTGATGGCAGCTGGGTCAAGTGAGCTGTGCCCATCCCGTAATCTCTGACAACCAAACAAAGAATGCGGGAGTCACTACCTTTAAAGTATGTAGATTAATGTACACTGAACACTACCTAATCCTCTGCCTTGTTATTTTGCCCACCAAAATTTTAGAGCCAACTTAGCTCTCTTTTAATTTTTGCCCAGCATCTTGGTCATGGAACAAATACTGGTAGGGGCCAGACACAATGTGTGAGTAATGTTATGCATTCTCATCACTCTCAGCTCTTTAAAATTTATAACTTTAGCTCTAATGTTGTACCTTTTCTGTCCCTCTTGTGCTCACTCTTTTCACTTAACACACACTTTGGCCTAATAATGGCAATGGAACTCAGAAGTATTCTAGGTTAAACACTCAGATGCAAAGTTTACAGCACAAAAGCCAAACAAAACAGTGATGCTGGTGTGTAACTGTACACAGTATATGGTGCTTTGGTTAATATCTTTGTGCCGAGTTACAATAACTATAAAACAAGTGCAAAATAATTATCAGTATAGTACGTATTGTCGTTCTCAACAAAATAATTTGACCCAGACTATACACAATAGACCATAACATGATACTGTATAAGTAGTGCATGTGTTGTGAGTTATTACTCTCTCACAGCAAATAATCCGAACGATGAATGTGTGGGACATAAACGACAAATAACAGTAAAGTGTTCCCAGTTAGTGAACAACGAATATGTGAAATGATGAGTGAAGGGGGGATAAATAACAGGAAGTGTACTAATCATACTTGTGTGAATCTATACTAGTTCCATTCAATAAGATTTGAACAATCTCACTCATTATCACTGAACTTACTTCCTAGCCTTTAGTGTTTATGAAATTAAAATTGATGGAGATTTCAATGATATAAAATTTCGTAAATATCGGGGTAGGATAGAAATAAAATAATAATGAAAACAAAGGATTTGAATCACTAATATGGAAGTACAGTACAATATAAATTGTATGACTAAGATTAGTGTAGTATAGTACTGTATAGAGTAATCTATTTATCTTTAATATGAATATTGTATTTGATGCAGGGTATGTGGTGGTAGCAGGTTTAATCAGCTTTGCTATGGTTTATCGTTATGGCCCACTAAGAGATAAGCGTTCAATCAACTTGGTTCAGTGGGCCATGCAGATGGTGGCCCTACTAGCAGTATTTCTAAGTAGCCAGTATCGTGAAGCTACTTTAGGACTCGTCATTGTCATGGTAACTTATCATAACATTCCTGATAAGTGGAAGTCCAAGTTTCAGACCTACTGGTGAGTAGTTAAATACTTTGGTATTTTTCCTATAATTCTTCAGTAGTTTATGACCAAGCAGTACAAATAGTAAAACTATTATATTTGATAAGAAAAAACTACAATAAGAACAGTACAGTACTCTGGCATTTGCTCTTACAGTAAAGTACTTAACCTAATTTAAATGATTGCTCTTGACTTTATTCCATAATAGGTGAAATGTTTATAAACGTCCTTTATTTAGGTGAATTTGTAATGACTTTTGAATTGTAAATGATGGTGTATCATCTTAGAATTCTTTGCAAAACCTCTTCACTACTATTATTGAATACAGAAAACTCTCACAATATTGTAATTAAAGTTTCATAATTTGGCTTATTATGGATACTTTAGAGCCATCAGACAATTTTTTTTAATTTCGGAAAAAAATCCAAAATCTTGAACATTCACCAATTCGTTCTCATTTCAGACTCAAGTTGAGTTCAAATTTGTTAGATTGTGTTTTCAAATGATGGAATTAGTGTTGAGGTGAGAGAAAGTGATGTCTCAAGGAGCTTTTTGGTGTATGTTTTGAGGGCTACATTCTGTACCTCTTTCCTCCAACTCGCATCTTTCACCTTTTACATTCAGTAGTTTTCAATATTTATTTATTTTTTAATTCATTCAGCATGAATTAGCACAGCAAGAGACTTTTTAGGAACATATCTTTCATGTTAAGGAGGGAGCATAATGTACAGTACAGTATATTTGTTTTGATCGTTGGGAATGATGTGTGAAATTTTTATCGTACATTAATGTATTTTTTATGTATACATGGGGGGAAGGAGACCCTCCCATTAAGGAAATTCTCCCAATAAAGGACAGGGCTTGCATAAATTAGTCTGGTAAAGGGAGGGTTTACTGTACTTGCCAGAATTACCATTAGACAACTAAAGCCAATGTTTCCAGTGTTTCACCATCTTACATGTAACTATGAAATGTCTTTCTGTACAGGGGGTCCCTGGGTTACGAACAGGTTCCGTTCCTGAGGACGTTCTTAAGTCGGATTTGTATGTAGGTTGGAACACATGCGATGTGCATACCGTACTTACAGAACAATGTTTAAAATCCCACTATATCATAGCCTAAGTCCTTATATACCCTACACCTAAAATCACTTAATTTGAGACAAAAGAAAAAATAGAATGACAAAATACAGTAAATGAAAGTAAAAAATAAGTCATCAGGTAAATAAAATACTGTAAATTTCAAGTTTAACCTCGTTCGTAAGTTGGGGACATCCTGTATTCCCAATTGTCACTGTGTACTCTTCTGTCGACCACCCATGGCAACTGAACAGATCCTGTCAGTGTCCTTTGTAATTCACCACCACTCTCACTCTTGACATTTTACATGAACTTACACATTACAAGGTCCTTGGAATTTCCTTTATTAATGAAACAGTCGTTTACCCTCGAAGCAACACATGCTGTACGCCTTTCTGATATATTTGACACAATTTTGTTCCAGGCGTCGACGATTTCCTCCAAAAATAAGAAAGTTAACCGAGGAAGAATATATTGAACAGGCCAATGAAGAAACCCGGAAAGCCTTAGAGGAGTTAAGAACACATTGTCGATCACCAAACTGTGATGCTTGGAAAACAGTTTCAAAATTAAAGTCACCACAAAGGTACTGTAATAGTAGAGAAGTATAGATAGTATGGATTTATATATCTTAATGTCTGGTGAGTTTGTATTGAAAATAGTGATTTATGAAATACAGTATGTTAGTGTTATTTTAACCCTTTGGATGCAGAATGTATTTCGTTTCCAAGGTGCATTCCCAAGGTGTGCCAATTCTGCAGTAAAACGTAAAAAATGGTAACTGGTCCCTTTTTACTAGTTTTTTATCAAAGCAAAACCATAAAGTTTTTATATCTTAAATTAATATTTCTTAGAAACAACATCAGACAGCTGGGGGAAAATGTATGAAGAAAATGTAAAAAAGGAAGTACAGTATTACCCCGCTTTACACACGGTTTCACTTTCCGCGATTTCTCATTTACATCATTTACGCGGTACCTTGCCAGAACCGCGGTGCATCTACTCATATACGTGGTGAAGTATAATTTATTTTTTTATTTTTTTTTATTTAGCTCATAAAATTCATACAAATTACCCTGCCAGAATATAATTTACATTGCTGGAATTCTTACAATATGATGATCATTTTGAATATAAACATCATGGATTTTGCATTAGACATAGAAATTTTAGATCTAATGTAATAATTTGGTTTACACAAAGCAAATATTTTATCGTTTGTGCAAAATTATGAAGTTTACATTAAAATTATTCCCTGACCTGCAAGGATCCAGAAATGTCAATTATATTATCCTAACTTGAGTCTGAGGTATTATTTATTGCTAAACGTTAAAATCTAGTGGTTTCACCCAAACATTTCTCAGAGAGGTAGGAGCTAGTGAGCTGGGAAGAGGGGGGGGATTTGATTCCATTATTTGAATGGACATTAACCTGGCGACTGTATTTCTCTTAAATATTAATTGTGTGAGCATACCATCATAAAATTTAGATGTTATTTTTACTACAACATAGGTATTGTGTCGGAAAAAGTGGAGTTTGGGGGTCAGGCCAGTCTCTATTGGAATTAGTCCCATATGTTCTGTTGTTCACTTTACACGGTTTTCACTTTCCGCGGTACCCTGTGGGTTCAATTGACCGCGTAAATTGGGGTACTACTGTACAGTATTTATGGATTCCTCATCTTATGCTACAAAAATTAGCCAACACTGCAGTACACAGTATCAAATGTAACAAAAGGCACTACTGTACTCTGCCATTAGAAGCAAAGTATATTTATTATACAGGTACAGATCCTAACTGGACCTCAGAAAATTGGAAATTCTTGAAAACCAGATACTGTACTGTATTTTCTTCCCTTTCAAAGTCAAGTTTTGCTTACACACACTCACAGAAACTCAGTTGAACATTTGTTTTACTTGTTTGATAATAAAATAAAGAAAATAGTATTGCTTACATAATTTAAATAAAAAATGCTAGACATTAAATACAGTCTATTTAGACATTGAGAGTTCTCTAAAAGTGAATTAATGGATTTGTTGACATCCTTACAGCTTCTGGTGAGTTGCAATATTTGCGAGAAGTAGAGAATTCATAAATAGCTATTGTCTGATTGAATAAATGGCAGTCCTTGAGGGAGCCTATGTTTCCTAAAACCTGATGTCCTGTGTAAACGTATCTTAAGACCCACTAATCCCCCACCCAACAATGGGTGACCTGACATTGCATCAGGTCAGGTTAGTAACATGACCCAATAATCTCCCACCCAACCTCCATCACAAGTGTTAAGACGTTATTACAGTTATGTATTACAGTCAGCTGAGTGAAGTGTCTGCCTTCTCTAGGCTAAAGATGACATGATATGCTGGTGAGTATAATATATACAGTAGTATACATTATTATATATACAGTATACAGTACTGTAATATACATTATTTTATTTACAATATGAACAATATTGCACTAGTACAGTGGTGTTTGCGTAAATAACTACAGCCCCTACGAGGATTATTTTGATAAAAAAAATGGTGTCTAACGATATTAGAACTGATTTTATTGACACTGGTATAAATGTTTCTTATGTTTTTTGTTTTATAAGAAAATAGAATTTCCATCGATATGTCATATCAAAATATTTCGTTTAAGGATATCTTATTGGAAACATCTCGTAGAGAATTTGTTAAGGATCATTATGGTACAGGTTGAACCTCGTTAATAAGAACATAAGAATAGAGGACTGCAGCAGGCCTATTGGCCCATATTGGCAGGCCCGTTTACACCCAACCCCTATCGCTCATATATCCATCCAACCTATATTTCAAGCTATCCAGCATATTCGAGTTAATGATTGTTTACTTGGCTTAAGATTCCTACTTATCATTCCTCCTAAATCTTTCTCACAGTTGGATTTCTCTATGACAATGTTGTTCATCTGATATCTGGCTTCTCTGTTTACATCTCCTAGAGTAAGTACTTTATATTTGTCCACATTAGATTTCATCTGCCATTTTTCAGACCATGCAAGATTTTTTTTTAGGTCTTCCTGTAGTTTTGCAGAGTCCTGATCAGATTTAATTACCCGGTAGATGCCCTATTTTACAGTCATCAGCAATTTATTTATGTTGCTGTCTACGCTAATATCTATGTCATTTATGTATACAGTGGCCCCTCGGTTAACGAACTCAATCCGTTCCAGAAGGTCGTTCGTTAACCGAAACGTTCGTTAACCGAAACCATTGTTTCAATGGGTTTTTGGGTAATTGGTTCCAGCTCACCGAAAATTTCCTAACTTCAACAAAAATGGCGGAAAAATTTACTTACTTTGAGGTGTGTATGTAGAAGGCTCCTGGATGATGGTGATGATGTGCATTTGAAGTGGGAGGTGCAGGAGGAGAAGGGAGAAGAGAAGGAAGTGGAGGTGGAGGAGAAGCATTTTACTGCTTCTTGGAAGGTGAGTCACCTTCCATGAAAATGTCAGGAACCTCTGGACTGACAGATTCTCCACCATGAACATCCTCTCTCCTTCTTGAAGTGGAAGGCTGAGGGCTAGCATCTTGTTCCCTCTGCCTTTTACTGAAGAAAGTGTCAATTGTGGTCTGTGGGGCATCTGTCCTCCTCACCATTAACTTATGTTTAAAGAAGGAGACCACTGAGTCCTCAACATGACACAAAGCTAGTTCAGTTTTTTCCACTTCTGGGTGCTTTGAAGCCAGTTCCCTGAACTTCTCCCAGTGGTAAATCACATCTTTCAACTGTGTAGCTGACATATGGTCATCACTTTCAATTTCCTCCTCACCACTGTCAGCCTCTACCCGTAACATCTCATCCAGTTCCTTCAAGTCATTAGGAGTAAGTTCCTCCTCATGAGACATCACAAGCTCTTCCACATCCTTCTCCTCCACTTCAAGACCCAATGACTGACCAATGGACACAATCTCCTGGTCCAACTCTGTGTCATCCTCAAATCCCTCAAAATCATGGACTACTGATGGCCACAGTGCTTTCCATGAAGAATTGAGGGTTCTATTGGAGACTTCTTGCCATGATGACACAATCAATTTTACAGCCTCCAGGACGTTGAATTGTGTCTTCCAGAACTGTTTCAGTGTTAGTTCAGGATCAATGGAAGTTGCCTGATGACACCTCCTAAACATTTTCTTCATGTACAACTTCTTGAAGTTGCTGATCACATTCTGGTCCATTGGCTGTATGAGTGATGTAGTGTTTGGAGGCAAAAACAACACTTTCACAAAGTCAAATTTATACTCCAAATTTCTGGCAAGGTCAGGGTCATGACCAGGAGCATTATCCATGAGGAGAAGAGCCTTTACAGGAAGTTTATTGGTGGTTAGGTAGCTCTTGACAGAGGGGCAAAACACATCAATAGCCCATTCATTAAAGAACTGTCTTGTCACCCATGCCTTACGGTTGGACTTCCAATAAACTCCAAGCATTGTTCTTACCACTTTCTGTTGCTTGAACACCCTGGGGTTTTCAGAGTGGTAGACAAGCATAGGCTTCAGTCGGAAATCCCCTGAAGCATTGGCACCAAGCAATAGAGTGAGACGGTCTTTCATGGGTTTATGCCCAGGTAAAGAGGCTTCATCCTTGGTGATGAATGTTCTTTTGGGCATCTTTTTCCAGAACAGCCCAGTTTCGTCAACATTGAAAACTTGCTGTGGAAGATAATTTTCTTCTTCCATCAGTTTTTTAAATTCAATTAAAAACTTTGCTGCCCCTTCTTTATCAGCACTAGCAGCTTCACCATGCCTAACAACACTTAAAATGTCACTTCTTTTCTTAAATTTTTCGAACCAGCCTTTGCTAGCCCGAAAATCTTCAAATTCTGTTCCTGAAGAACTAGGTTGATCTGTCTTTAAATGTTCATAAATCTCCCTGGCTCTTTCACAAATGAAATCACCAGAAACTGAATCACCTTTCATCTGTTTTTCCCTAATCCAGATGATAAGTAACCTCTCAGTTTCTACGATTAGGGATCTACTTTTAAACACTCTTGTAGATTTGTCTCTCACGTTCACTTCCTTAAATTTGTCTTTTTGTGCAAGAATTGTCGACACAGTTGATGCCGACATGCCATATTCTTTGCATAGCGCATTTGATTTAATACCTTGTTCGTGTTTTTTTATTATTTCCTGCTTCATTTGGATTGAAATCACTTTTCTTGATCTCTTAGGCCCCATGCTGGATTCAAACAATGGCAACACGTATTTTTCAAAGTTAAACTAGCTGTAAATAAAGAATATTTTCTTTAAAATAACACTGCACTGCACTATATATTGTCAATATGTAAAATAATTTTCAAAATGACCAATAATTTGCTTGGAAACACAGAAAAAAAGCGTTTAGTTGAAGAGAGTCTCAAGCAAGATGTTACCTCCAGTGAAAACAGAGAGAGACTGACGCCTGTTTGCTGTGTTAAGAGGCTGGATGCCGCGCATTAAACTAGTCACTTTACCTTCAATTATGTTCAATAATTGTTAAAATGACTAAAAAATTGAATATTAAACTTTTAAAATTATTGAATAGTATAAACTTCTTGATATTTACAAAAATAGTAAGGAATTTAAGCCCTAGAACCGATTAATGTATTGGCGGACTGATACTAAAGCTGGTTGCCCGGTCAGTGCAAGCGAAAACATGTTGAGGTCGGTTCGTAAGAAGTTCGTTAAGCGAAATTTTTTTCGTTAAACGAATTGAAGATCCTTATGGAAGGCAGTTCGTTAATCGAAATTACGTTAACCGAGGTGTTCGTTAAACGAGGGGTCACTGTATAATAAATAATAATGGTCCAAGTACTGAGCCTTGTGGTACTCCAATAATGACGTTACCCCAATCAGATTTAATGTCGTTAATGCTCACTCGCTGTTTCCTCTCCTGTTACCACTCCCTAATCCATTTTAGAATATCTCCTCCAATTCCATGATCCTCCACTTTTTGTATTAATCTTTCGTTGGGGACGCTGTGAAAGAATTTGCTAAAGTCGAGGTAGTATATCACATCCGGGAAGCTTGGGACCAGACCGGTTCCTGATTAGCGAAATTTCCGAACCATCGAAGCCGAGGTTAAAAAGGACAAAATAATGCATAAAATGTAATATTACTGACTAATTTCTTCAGTATAGACATCTTTTCTAAAATAGTTAATGTCACATGTTTACATTTTGCCACATTACAGCCACTTTCACTGCTTGCTGGTCTCTTAGGAGGCATATTTAGGGGTAAATTATAAGTACGTATTTAAAGGTAAAATAGCGGCAACAACCACTAGAAATAAGCTATGACACCGTCCCAAACCATCAACGCTGCCGGACTGTTGGGTCCCGGATTAACGGGGTCCAGCATGTATATCAAATTCATCTTATCACAATTAGCCACACTTAAGTGAGGAAGGGTGGGGAAAAAAACTGACCACACGACCCTCCCCGTCACCCCCCAAAAAGGTTCGACTCCCCCCCCACTCTCAGCCCACATTACCCACACTGTGCTACACTCACCAACACCACCCACACTGTGGTACACTCACCAACACCACCCACACTGTGGTACACACACCAACACCACCCACACATCACTCATATTATAATGGTTGCCCCTTGTGTAAAGTGGATGGTGGGCCAAAGGACCACCTAGGCGTGAATTTGTTTAAGGTGTAGAAGCTGTTGTCAATACAACAACCACACCCTGAGTTAACAGGTTGCATGACCCAGTGTCAAGGAATAGTCTGAGAAGACCGGACAACTCGCCAACTGCCCTGGCTAACCATAACCCTGGAACACGATCTGTAAATCGATTAACATCCAGGTTCCCAATTACTGCTGGGTAGACAGAGGCAAATGGTGTAAAGAAACTTGCCCATAGTTTCACCCTGCCCTACTTCTCTTTCTCACACACACACACACACCAAATAAACACAAAAAAACAAGGGAATTCAAACAGCAAGCATGATGAGTGAGGGTCTTATTGTATGACTAATTTGCGTGTGTGACTGTGTGGTAGCGAGTTAAACATCATCTGTTGAGGAGTGCTTGGCAACTCTCATTTCCACTCCATCTCTCTAATTACTCACACCTTTCTGCTTTCTCACTCCACATTTAAAAATGTTATGTAACGTAATGTTGAAGGGATACAGCTTTGCTCCCTAAAAATACTTTAGGTTTCATGTTTCTTCAAGACATCTTCAGGGCATGAGTCCCATTAATTTCCCACCCAAGAAAGGATGACCTGACATTCCATTAGAAGGTCAGTAATGAGACCACCAATCCCCCACAGCTTCATGGGAGTGGAAAATACCAGTCTTTGCTGTAACACACAGCTTCATTCATGCCCAAATCATAGAGATTTTTAATTTAAAAAAATATATTTATTGAAACTTAATTTAAACTGCATTAATGTTCTCCAGTAGTTTAGACTCAAGGAAAACATCCCCAGCACCCAGAAACATTCTGCAAAAGTGGTCTAGTGTCCATCTGTGCAGGATATCTAGTTTAGACACTCAAAAACTTTTCCCAGTAACCAGAAAAGATTCTGGGGATAAGGAATTTTTCCGGGTTTGAGAAAGTCATCTGGTTAGCTGGGAATCTCCCAATCCCAGAAGTGCTCTGCACCAATTGTTCCGGCTAACACGGATATCACTGTATAAGGTTTTACGAATTTATTTTGCTATGATGAATATTTTTTATATGGAATAACAATGACCATGTTACAGCAACAACACATGTTGACTCTGTGGCCTAGTTGACCAAACATAACAATGACCATGTGATAGCAACAATGCACCTCTATTGATAGTAGCAACACGTGTAGCCTCGCACGTGTGTCAACACACTACTTCATGCCATCAAGACATACGATGTTCTTTGTGGTGTATCAAGGCTCTGTCCCTATTTAGGTTGAGAGTGTAAGTTGTCACTCGTGAGCAACTGTGATTCGTAAATGCAACAGCATTTTAAAATAGTGGTGACACTCCAGTGATGATCCCATCCCTACTGTTTTAAAACAGCTGTCATGTATTACACTACTGGTTAAGGATAAAACCTGGTGAAAAAAATGAGGGTTTACCTGAAAGTTTTACCTTTTATGTATCCGAGTGTTTTTTGTTTTTTTTTAACATAATTTGGGAATCTTGCAGAGCATGCAGTACGGTACGGTTATGAGGTTGATAAAAGTTTGTTTCAATATTGCGGTTCGATATTTTTTACAAAGTTTGGTACGGTACGAAAGTGCGATTAATTTTTCATAGCTTTATTGTACCATTTCAAACCAAGCCACTCCCTTGAAATGTTGGCTGGACAATAGCTTGGAGCGATGCAGGTGTGCTCCAGCCTTCAGGTCAGGTGCAGGTGAAGCTTTGAGGTTAGATCAGGTCAGATCTGGCAACGCCCAGTGAGCTAGTGAGACCACAAAATTACATTGCCCCAGGGGGGAATGCCCCTGCCAGCTAACACACACACACATTTTTGTGGGCTAGGGGCAGAAGATTAAGTAAAATGGGTAATTTATCATTAATATTTTAGAATATTACCGGTAAATATTATTATGTTAGAACAAAATACTAAAGTTAATAATATAATTATTCTTGTTTTGTTACACCTTAAATTGGGCTTCATTTTGTTTGGGGGTACGAAATTACAGTACGGTATTTTCCTTTGGTACGAATTACGAGAAATCAATAGTACTGTACCGAACTGCATGCTCTGGAGCCTTGTAATGTTAGAAATAATAAGAATGTTGGTATTGTAGTCAAGTGGTAATAGTAATTTATATCCACAGATTTGTGGAGTTTGTTGGAATTCCTCAAAAGAGGCAGAGTGTCACACCAAACACAGTCCATAGAGAGAGGTAAGCCATATATGGTTTCCCTTTCTCTGGGACTGGGCTTATTCCTTGATATATTGTTTGAATGTCCCACGTCAGGGCCAATGCCTTATGGCGTCATTTTTCCATCTTGTTTCTGGGTGATATCTCTAAAATGACTCAACAAACTCATTACATACTTTAATACCTTTGTATAGGCCTAATGCTATTTTGGGGGTCTTTGGTATGATGTATTGCATCTCAGTAGCAATGTGATTGATTTGCTTCAGATTTAGCAGTCACATTTCTAGTACTGTGCAGGTTTCCCATGCTATACGAACGTTCGAGCTATGGAAATTCTCTTATGCTAATGCATGGTTTTCAAGGTACATAACCCATTTGTAAAGTGAGTGATACCTGTACTCAGTGTTGTGTATTATTATAAATTATTCAATAATTACCCTTTCAAATTGTTTGCTGTAACATATTGTCTATAATTTTAAGATTTTTCCTCTTGAACATTATCTATGACTACCAATTTACCAATTTTTCAGTTTATTTCTTTGTTCATAATATGTACTGTATGTTTCAGGATCTTGTAGTGCTGTGAAAGATCTTTTTTTTTTTTAGGAGCATTGTCTCTCCACTTCAGGTAGTGTCTGTATCCAGAAGAAGCGAAGAAATCTCAGTAATTCAGAACCAATTTTATTCATTTGGAGCATATCTAGCATGTCATCTTCCAATCTGTTGTACAGTAAACTCTTCCTATTCGCGAGGGATAGGTTCCAAGAAATGGCGCGAATTGGCATAACCGCGAATACCACTTATATAATACCTTAGTGCACTAATATACAGGTATACCTATACTGTGTCTGAGAAACTTAAGTCACAATACTGTACTTACATTCATATGTGGAAGTCTGGAGCTTTCAGTTTTCACTATGTTCTTGTCACGAACAACCTGTGCCACTTTTACACTTGCAGGAACACTTGCTTGAACAGAATCACATATTGCTTGTTCATTCTTTCTTATGTACTGCACTGTGGACTCGTTCACACCAAACAACCGACCAACTGCGGTAGCACTCATCCCCTCCTTTAACTTGTCTAATAATTAAATTCAACTTTCTTTGCCAGAGTCATCACTGACTTTTGCCTTTTATGTTTCGCATCACTAGGCAGTCTTTTAGGGCCATTTTCACACAGAAACACAAAAGTTTTGAGAGTATGACACGAGATGCTTGGTCATGGGTACTGGGTGAGGGCAAACAGAGCGGGATGAGACGTCGCTGGTGAGTGGGGTGACTCGTTGCTCTGAAGGAGAAGGCTCACATGCTAGCCACCTCAGCCACCAGCTGCTTACCGCGATTCGTCAAAATCGCAGCAAATCGTAAACCTGCGAATGGGAAGGGTATACTGTATTCTATTGGGAGGATGTTGCTCCCGCATGACAGTTTTGAAAGTATATATGTCCTGTGAGCTATTATCAAGTGACATACAAGGCGTCCTCTCAGAATTAACCTGGTAAAGCTGCTGTTCTGAGGCAGGAAAATCTTTATAATTGAGTACAGTATCAGGAACCCAAAATGTTTGGGACCAAGAGGAAAATTTATAATTTTGGAAAGAGGATACAGTAGAGTCATGATAATTTGTGGGCTAGTTACCAGAGGACTTCAGGAATTATCAAATTGCAAATCATAGTTTACCTAATTGATTTAAATGGAAATAATTTGTTACATTCCAGAGGCCACACACACACACAAAAACTATACCAAACTGCTTTACCTGTTACCTTTACCGCCTCCAGCGCTGTGCGACGCAAAGGGCCTCCACATACTCGCGCCAGCCATTTCGATCTTGAAACCTTTCCATGGTTGTATTTAACTCGTCCTCCATCTTCCTTCTTTTAGTTCGGATACATGTAGGCCTTGGTCTTCCTCTTCTTCTCTTTCCGTCCACTCTCCACTCGACCACCTCTCTCAATACTGTACTCTATCCAGATGCACACACAGAATGGGCCCCAGCCATTTTCATCTATTCTTCATCAGCCATTCATCGATAAAGGGCACATTTGTGACTTTCTTATCGTCTTGTTTCTAATACGATTACGCCATCTTATGTTCAAGATTCTTCTCAATGCCTTATTCTTGAAAGTTCGGAATCTTCTGGATAAAGTATCATTATCATGCCAAGATTCACCTCCATATACCAAAACGGGTCTTACCAGTGAAGTATATAATCTCAGTTTGGTATGGACTGTTAGTCTATGTGACTTCCACACTTTGCCCATACCTTGATGACCTCTTCTTATTCTGTCCTGAAACTCATCTTCAAGTGATCCATCGTTTTTGACGAGTGTCCCTAAATACTTGAAAACAGGAACTTCTTCTATAATTTGATCCTCCACCTGAATGTTCCCTTCAATTTCTTGGGATGTTTTCATAACCTCCGTTTTTCTAACAATAATCGTTAATCCAGCTCCTTTTCCCTTTTCCTCCAGTCTGCTAACCATAGTTTGCAAATTCTGAATGGATCTGCTCATCAGTACTACATCGTCTGCATAATCCAAGTCTGCGAGGTATTTATTGTCGACCCATTCGATCCCTTCTCTTTCATCACCCACTGTCTCTTTCAATACAAAATCAATAAGTACAGCAAACAGCAATGGAGACAAAACATTACCTTGCAACACCCCACTCTCGACATTGAATTCTGGGAAAAGTTGGCCATCAACGTTCACATGACATCTGCTGCCCTTATGAATTTCTTCTATCAAACGAACGTATTTTTCTGGCATTCCATAGTTCCGTAAGTTTTGCATATAGTTGGTCTGTGTACGCTATCGAAGGCTTTCTTAAGATCGACAAATGACATTATCCACGGTTTTCTGAATTCCACACTTTGCTGTATTATGTGACGTAATGTGAATATATGATCACTGCAGCTTCTTGATTTTCTGAACCCTGCCTGTTCATCTGTTAGCCTTTGGTCTAAGGATTCTTGAATCCTGTTCAGTATGACCAGACAGAAAACCTTCGATACTATTCCTGTTAATGTTATCCCTCACCACTCTCATAAATCACCTTTCTTGGGCAGTTTTATGATGATTCCTTGTTTCCATTCATCCGGGACAACCTCAGTGCTCCATATTTCTTGAAATAATCTTTAATAGTACTGTACTGTACTTGAGATGCACCATTCGTGTCGGCATTCAGCATATCTCCAGTTATTCCATCTAGACCCGGTGCCTTCCAGTTCTTCAACTGTTTTAGTGCCCTTTCAATTTCCCTCACCGTAATGACACCCATATTGACATGCATTTGTTCTTCAGGCTGATGTATAGTAAGAGTATTAGCTGGTAGTCTTTTTCTTTTCCTGCCTGTACCTGCGATGTCTTTAATTATATCGTATGCTTTACTTTCTCCATGTCCATTACCGGAATTAACTGCTTTAATAAACATTTAATGTAATACATAAAAAATACAGTAACACATAGATATTATACAAAAAGTACTGTAGTTCTAAGTCCTCGCTTAACGTCGTGGTTCCGTTCCTGAAAACCACGACGTTAGCGGAATCAATTTTCCCCATAAGAAATAGATCAAATATGGGAGTTACATTCCCCAGCCTCCCTTTGCCTCATAAAATACATTACATATACAGAAATTCAATGGCATTTTTTTTAGAAAATAGTATATATACGGTATATAAATAAGCTTAATCATTTCGTATTGTACTCACTGATGGACGGAAGTGTTTGGTGGGTAGTGGAGCAGAGGAGGTGGAGGGAGGCGAGTCACTGAGACCTGGCAGGTGGCTCCTCCTCCTGCTCTGACTGGGGTTCCTCTGCTGCTCTTTGCTATTTCGTAGCAAGGGTAATGGTCTTATATTGCTTCTTCACAACACTAGCATCAATAGCACTTGATGGGCGCTTGGAAGCCATTTTGAATGGTTAGAGTACAGTTTTAAGAGCAAAAACACTTAAACATGCATGAATGCTGTGCTAGCCTGGCAAAGACTGGGGACGCTTGGGGATGCCGTGACGCTCCGCGTGTGAGAGCATAGCACGTCAAGATGAGATGCACCGTACAAAGTAGTCCATGATGACGTTATACTGAATCGGTGGGACGTTATCCAAATCATGGGTATCTAAAGAATAGCGATATTATAACAAAACTACATTATCGGGGGGGCAACGTTAAGCGAGGACTTACTGTATTACATAAACATCATCTTCTCTTCTCTTAATCATCTTCTGGGTGACACCATTACACCAACATGGAGACAGGCAGGCTGGCTGGTCACCTGTTTGCCTGTGGTGAAACAAACCAACAGGAATTTAATATGACCCAGCAACTCATCTGAGCACAAAATGAATATAAATAATGTGGAAATTGTGGTGAAATTGTATACTGTAGTTATAAAGGGATTGCGGGGTGATGGAGTGCTCCGAGAGCAGAATTTACTTCCCACTTTCTTAATTTTTTGTAGTTCTCTGTATTTTCTTGTGATGGACCAGAATGTTGTACATTTATTGTTTATGTTTAGTAAGTAAATAAACCTATTAAACATTGTTTGGTTAATTTTTAGAGCCTTGGATTCCTAACCACTTATTTTGGATTGAAATATATACTATACATAGTATTTTTATTGTGATTTATTTGCTTTGTGAACATTCTGGATCCCCATCGCATTATATAACTCAAGGCAAATGTACAATTTTTTTTTCATATCTTGTCTAAGGTGTTTGATAAATTATTTGATACATACATAGTACAAGATATGTTTAGAATACTACCATGTTTAAGAAATTTTTTTATTACTCAAGCTGTTTTTATTTGTTCTCTCCACAAAGATTTGCTGAGTTTGTTGAAGGAGGTTCTCACTTGGATGATGAAGCAATTCTGGCATATGAAAGTAATCAAAGGACACCAACCCGTCACAATGAAGAAGAGGAAGATGATCTGTACATCACCACAGATGATGAAGAGGAAGAATCATAAAAAACCTTGTAAACTAAGACACTGTAGTTAGAGGAAGAATAAGTAATTTAGTTAAGTACATCCCAACAACATGCCTGTAAATAATTAATAAAATATAGCTCAAAGTTAATGTAGTCCAGTCACTGAAGAAATTTTGTGCTTTCAATTTTTAACACTCACCTTATATGGGTAGTAATTTATTACTTGTAAGGTCACCCACCCAAATACTTTCCTGACAAAGCCAGCCTTATCCAAGGGGCTATTCTGAGGCAGGGACACTTTCCATTCACTTTTCTGCAAAAACTGCATCAGCATGTATTTTCCCAGTTGAACCAAGGTGTATGGAACAATCTCTGGCTCATTAGTTGTTTCAAAATTCATCACGCTCAAAGGTACTCTTGGACAAACCCAGAACCTGTTCACTTAACTTAACCTTTTCAGTAATAAACTTGGCTCACAAATATCAGTCCTTCCACTGTTCCCTGCTACTATCATTATATTGCCTGTACTGTTCTCCATTTTCTTTTTCATGGAAGTTGAGCCTAACTCTGACATTTAATTTATTTTTACTTAACCGAGTGTGTTTGTTTACTTTGAGCACGATTAAAATGATTGTGTTTATGAGATGAGCAGTACCGGTACCCGATGGCAGATCAGCCACGTGATTCACTCTCTCAGTGTGAGATGTAAAGTCCCGCACATAATATTTTCAATTTCTATTTGATAGGAACAGAAAATGTTAAGAGGAACTGCATTATTTTTGTCAATAGTGTCAACAAATGAGCACAACGCTGTTTGACACTGTAACAATTCAAACAATATACGGTACCCACTAAATCTAAGCTTTCTTCTCTGTGAATTCGGGTTTACTTACCTGCTAGAGGATTTGCCTGATTGTAAATACGAGCCTATTCATATATATGGCTCTTAATGTGATTGTTTTTAATCCTGTCACATATGGGGAGATGACTATATTGTGGTGTTTCTGTGCTTGTAGTAACTCAACAAGGATTTTGGTCTGGAGTTTGGATTGTTTCTTTTGGCTTATTTTGTGTAATAATGGCCAGGTTTAGGAAGAATGTTAGTGCTGATCCAGCCTCAAGTTCTCCTCAGCTGAAAAGATACAGGGTAAAGGCAATAGTGTTGGTGTTACAGCGGTAACGAGCATAACTCTCCCCAATATGTCAAGGGTTCGAGCCTCGCCTGGACACACGTGAGAAGGGTGTTATCCAGTGTGACCCTACCAAACATCACAGAAACTGCTCAAATGGCTAGTAAGCTGATAAGTGGTGAATATGATAAAAAAATAAGTAAATATATAAAAAATGTGTGTGTGGTTGGTGTGGATGCTGCCTCTACCATATGCCCTGGTTTTGATTGAGTTTGTAGTTGCTTATGCAGTCTTTGCTGTAATCCTTATGAATGACTTCCCTGCTTCAAAATACTGTACTGTACCCTGTACTGATAACCCCTCAGACAAGGCAGCTTGACCAAGGGGTGTTCAGGCAGGTAGTCTCACAGGTCATTAGTGGTCTTTCCCCTAATCATGAAATGGGATTTCTTAATTCACTTTTTTTTATTATTTAATTGATCTTTCTTATTTTTTGTATAAAAAACACATTATCAAGCAAATAAGAAATGTTGCACAGACAATACAGAAATGTGAAAGATCTCTACCTCATTCTAGTAAATTACCCTTAGTGGTATAGCTGTGAATACATACCCCTTTATTTATCTCGTGGCTGTGAAGTTTCTTTTTAATTCTTATATAATTTTATAAGAAAATGTATTAGGTGTGATCTGATTGTTGTTCTCGGCGAGTAATGCTCTGTAAATACTGTACGTTTAATTCATATGCAAAACTTTTTTTTTAAAAATCAGGCATGTTATGATTTTTGTACCTTACTTTGGTACATTAGATAGTTTGCTTTCTTGCTTGAGTTAAAAGTTAATTAGAATAGATAAGGCTTTTTATTTATTTTTTACATTTGTATAGTACATTACTGTTTTTAAATGCCACTTTCTCATGGTAATAATCCTTAAACAGCAGTTATGTGCAAAAAATGGATTGCAGGGACAATGACACATCCATTGATGTTGGCCATCATCACCTCAGCAAACATCCACTGATGATGGCTGCTGTTTAAGGGTTAAGTAAAAAACAATAGAAATAGAGAGAAAAGTATGAAAGTTTAAAACAATTGATGAGATAAATATTTTCATGACAAAATATGAACTGGCCTTTTGGTTAACTGATTAGTGAGTGTGTGTGTAATTATGCTTGCAAGGCACTGTACAATATTACTGAATTTGAAATATGAATTTGGTTTTAAACTGAAGATGAAACACAAAATATTGTAAAAGATCTACAGATAACCCTCAATTTTCATGGTGGTTATATTCTTGAAAAACACTGTAAAATGAATACTAAGACCCTATGGGCAACACATGTAGAGGGTTAGGTTGCAGGCTCATACAGTGATCTTTCATTTGAAACATTATCTGTATATTAAACAGTCTTAATGATATTTAAATTTGCTACTATTTTTTAATGATGATGAACTTGATATGATGATAATGTTGATGTTGAAGTCAAAAGTTTTAAGATTTGCCTGCATACCCTGGGGAGTGTGCTGTGGTGCTGGTGGTGATGTCTTGCAGATTCAACTCATTTGAGCCATGAGCTCTAGCAAGTCTGTCCAGCATCTCCACTTTCTGTATTAAAAGCATCGCTTTTTCCTGCTTCTTCACACGTTGTATCATTTTGTGAGTTACACTCACTGACTTTCCTCTTTTACCACAGAGAAAAGGGTAATAAATTATGGATAAAAGTGTTTATTTTTAACAAAGGTATACATTTGACAAAATACGGTGGTGGGATATGAGGTGGGGTTTGGGGTAAAGTGTTGCTTAGGATAGGAGGCAAGCGTGTGATTTGTGTGTGGGTTATGCATGGCTCACTTCTCAGGCCCATACGGTGACTGCTGAACTGTGTACAAGTGGATCTAGACAATGTAGAAAAAATAAGAGGGTCACAACTCTTGATAATGTAAGTGAATCTGTACACAACAAAAACTGTAGATTGATGGCCAACTGTAACTATACAGTAATAAAGAAAAAAATATTCCACTTATTTTATATGGTACATGCAAATCATATCACCAAGCAAATGTTGCTGAAAAATGCTAGCACAATATAGTAGTTCTTGTCCCAAGAAAAGATATAGGAAAAATGTTAGTTTAGGTTTGTAAATGGATGTGTTCAGGCTGTTTGAAATAGTAGAATTAGATAAAGCCTTACAACAGCCCCAGACCTTTGGTATGTGTACTCAAGTACAGTAAATTTATGAGAAAATTTTGATAAAAAATAGGAATGTAACCACAACTAATAACATTGGGGTTTGCTATTACCGTAGTTGTGTTTTCAGGAATGCGACCCCAACAAATAATGAGGACTGAATGTAGGTCAATACTATTTTGGATAATTTTTTATGTTATTCTCAGTGTGTGTGTGTGTACCAGTATTCTCGCTGACACCAACTGTAGGAAAATTGAGGCTATCATTATACATGAACAACTACATTGGACTGGCCATGTTGCCCACATGGATGACAGTAGACTGCCAAAGCAGCTACTTTACAGTCATCTAACGAATGTTAAACGTAATGCTGGCAGGTAACTGAAAAGGTATACAGATAGTCTTAAGACAAAACTGAAAAGTGCCAAATTGACCCCCTCACCTGGGAAACGATCATTCCACACGTAACGCTTGGAGGAGCACCACACGAGAAGGTTTCAATACTTTAGAGTTAGCCTGACTGCATACCAAGGCAGACAAGTACCAGTGCCGGGAAGACGCTGCCACTGCCCCTCCCGCACTAATTGTAGTCCTCCACGCCTGCAACATCTGTGGATGATTCTGCCGGTCCAGTATCGGCCTCTTGAGCCAAATTAAAACTCGCCAACGAACATGACATCCTTAATAACTCATATCATTGTATCATAGCTGGATGATCATCATACCCGATTCAGAGCGACAGCAGAGTAGTAGTAGTGTGTGTTTGCGAAACAGAATGATAAATTCATTTATCTCCAAGACTCTGAAATCAAGATGGTGGCCTTTGGCTGAATTGATGTATGTTCTGGCAGGGAGACAGCTGTCTTACTGAAATACATCTTAAAGGCATCCTCTGCTTCTAATTCAGCCAAAAGGCAGGTAGATGGAACAGGGAGGGATGGGATGGTCATAAGGTCAGCTCCCATCTGTTAGTAAACGGTGTAGTCTACTAGACTTCTTTAAACAAATAAAGTATTGCCCGACATAAGAAAAGCAAAAGGGAATAATGAACTGAAGGTAGCAAGGGGGGTGAAGTCAAACCCCAAGTGAATCTTACATATGTACCAGACTAAAACGAGACAATATTGGATCAATAGTCAGATATCGGCAAGCTAACTTATAATGACGGAGAAATGAACAATAATCTGAACATATTTTTCAACAGTTTTTACCACAGAATTTAAACATGATACCCGAGGCACCGACTATATGCAGAGATAGTGAAGAAAATAGATAACAGAAGGTAGCAGTTGTCGGAGGAGGCGATTTTAGTATATAGGGTGACGTGTCTTCTCAGTTTTCTTTTTATTTCTCGGGGTATTTCTTTCTTTATACTTTTTTATCGGCTTTCTATTCTCTGTTACTTTTTTCTTATCGAGTTATATTATGACCTAGGGCTTACCTGGGAAACCCCTTGTTATAGTGCAGTATTTTCTCAGCTGAGAGATGACCCACCCCCTCTTCAAGAGTTACAGCTGATTGGTTGATGCAAATCTGTTCAATTTCGTCCTGAAGCAAAGGGGCCCTGCAGTGGCTGAATTGCCCTGGATCCTGCAACCCCTTAGGGACAGCCCTGGCTGTGACCCCTTATGGGGCGAGCGTACCCCAGCTCCAAGTAAGGGCACTCGACTGAGTAGTGCCCTTTGAGATGCTTATACACCTCAAGTAGGTTACCCCTCGCCTGTCTGTAGGATAAGGCGCAAGTTCAGGTGCCCAACTGGGTAGCTGAGGTGCCATAGTGCAGGCACCAGTCTGGTGGCCTCCACGAGAAAAATATCTCCCAAAATTTCATATTTTACTATAATCTTTATCGGATTCAGCCAAAATGTATTTAAGAAAAAGTTACAGACAATATACATAGTTCTGTGCACTTGGATTATGTTTCATACCTCCTAAAATAATTTGCTCAAAATGGCATCCATCAGTTGTACCTTTAAAATATATATATATATATATATATATATATATATATATATATATATATATATATATATATATATATATATATATATATATATATATATATATATATATATATATACATACATACATACATACATACACACACATACATACATACATATATATATATATATATATATATATATATATATATATATATATATATATATATATATATATATATATATATATATATATATATTCTTGCGCTGTTCGATAAGCGATTCCCTGTTTGTGATGTTGGGTTAAGTCACTGGATAAAAACCTTTTTACATCTGACTCGGGGATCGAACCCGGTACAACGGCAATGATATGTAAACTAATAGTACCCCTGTATTATCATTGAATTAAAAGGTATTAGTGAAAAAACATTATCTTATAGTCAAATTAGGGGCTCTTGTAATGTTGAGAAAAACTTGCAAAAATTAGCACAAAGCCTATTGTCATGCTCAACGGTTACGCAGGAGCAGCCATGCTCTACTAGACTACTACCCATGTTTTACTCAACTCAACACTTCATATGGCTGTGGAAAAGGTGATCGTATTATTCCATGAGGTGTCCTTTATTAAACTTCCTCCCCCAACAAACTCCGCCTCCCACTCTCTATCCAACTGAAAACTCGACAATATAAGTCATGTGATGATTTATATATGTCAACAAAGAAAACCCCTTTCTCTATTTTTTTTAGATAATTACCATAAATCAATCATCCATTATTAGTTGTAATAGGTGGAATTACATGAAAAGGAGTTATTTTGTTTTCGTATTCGTAAGAGCCTGTATCCTCTGACCATTATTATTGTTAGCCGTGTTATTACAAGCTCTGAGATCAAGCTTAAATTATTACATTTGTGATCCACGTAACAAAGGTGAGTGATGGCTAGTTTGAATAAAATATAATATTTTAATTGAGTTTAATATGGTAAGCGTTACAGATCTATAAATGTTAAACATAGTAACTGGATGTAAGCAAAGTCAAATTTTAATGACCTCAGTAACACCAATATCAACCGAATGCTCACTTGAACACCACCCTAATGAAGGTAATAGCAGTAGAGACGGTTAGGAAAAGAAATCATCAAATTAGGGTAAATATGTGTTTAATGGCTGTGGCTTTTTGTTTTGAGAATATATTTATTTGGGGGTAAATATCCTTCCATTGACTGTTCTCAGGTTTTGGTACAAGAATACATTTTTTTCTACGATTTTCAGTGTGTTTTACTCAAATCTGACCTTCATTTCTGGGTAAATTTACAGATTCAGTCCCAACAACTGTTCGACCACAATTTTTTGTTTATCCCATGGTATTTGGTGTGATTCATTTGAATTTGACCTTCTTACTTCGCAAATGAGTCGTTTTGGACTTAACCCCCCCCCCCCCTTCCCATACAACCTGACCTAATCATCTAAAGAGACCTACCTAACTTCCTAGCCGTCCCCGCCATCCGATATATTCAGGAGCCACTGCATGCCTAGTATCTGCCAACAGTCTCAGAATATAACTTGCATTTCTGGAATTCTTGTAAGATGGCAATTAAATTTAGTATAAACACCCCATAGTTTGCACTAGACATAAAAATTTTAATAATTAACTTAATACATTTGAGTACAGGTTGTGATAATTTATGCATTGTGGTTGCAGTTGCGAAGCTTCGTGACATCACTAGTATATAATGCGTCACCATATGCCCTGGTTTATTCACTGATCAGTTGTCTAAGTGCAAAAGTAGCCAAATCAAACCATTATGTATCAATTAATTTTAAAATAAAAATTGTAGTCAAATTTTGTAAGACAACAGTTTAGTAGTGCTGTTTTAAGTGTCTTGGCATGTCAACTTACTTCCCACCCACACACCAGCCATGTGAGGATCCGGCTAAACAAAGTGCAATCTTTCATAAAGCCGGGAACCCTTGTCCCCAGGGCCAGAGCAGAAAGGTTTGGAGTGATTTTGTCGCCATTATCTCAGATTGTCTGGTAATTGTTTTATATCATTATTTATTGTTTTTAGACATTTAGTACATTTGCTGGAGGCTGAAGTAGGTTTTATTGTATCATGTGTCTGAGGTGTTCTTGTAGGCGTGAGCCTATTAATGGAACTAATCTCTATTTAGAGAACTAGTTCACTAAATAGAGCAAAAAAAAAATGCCTTCTGCTAAATTGAGAGTTCATTATATCAGATTCAGTTAAATTGAGAATATACTATATACAGTATATACTGTATATTATGTTATTCTGTTTTCTTTTTCAGAGCATGGAAATGGAGCCCAATGTATGCTACATTTGCCATGATAAACGTCGAATTGCAGACACGGATACATCAAAAATAAGGATTGGCAACACCCCTGATGCAGAGACACTTAAAGAAACATTGATCAGGGCTCTATCACTAGGATATGTGGAAGACAACCCAAATGAACCTGAACAAACTAAATTTAGCAGTGGAGTGTGTATAGTTTCTTTAAATTCTCGATGCGATGGAGGTCTTGAAGCTGTAGGTGAGAAGGTAGTGAGTGATCATGTTGTTATATGTAGGAGATGTGAATCACTCTTGAGAGATTTTGAATTTCATGAAAGGACCTCTGCAAAAATTGCTTCAGAAATTAGACGATTTTTGACAAGACAAGAAATCAATGAAAAAGATTACACTGACAGAAATACTGCAGCTGGGCATAAACCACAAACTGCCGTTAGAACGTCTCTTACCAGAAATATTGATGAAAGAAAGGGCATAATGGCAGCTCTGAGAGCATTAAGAAAATCAGGTGTTAGTGGAGCAAAGAAAAGAGGAAGAAAGGCGAAAAAAGACATTAACTCATCCATAGAAACAATTGAAACTGGAGATGATGATATTGCTCATGATGCAGGTAGAGTTTTGGAGGGGGAAATATCAGGGGATGAACAGAGACAGCAAGCTTTAGTACCAGCTAGGTCAAGTAAAAGGATTAAGCGGAGACAAGAAGATGGTTTAGTTATTAGATGGGGAGATGCTATGTATGAAGCAGAACATAACTCGTTAGAACCTGAAACTGAAGCTGACGACTTTTATGAAGATGATGAAATGTGGTCAAAACGAGAATATTACCCAAGGAAGAGAAGAGGAAGAAAACCCGGTCAACATCAACTGATACGGCTTGTCAAGCCTCTTGATGATAAATTAGATTGTCCAACGCTGGATCATTCTGTGTCCAGATATCAGTGCCCATTTTGTCAACGATATTATATTCCTTCAAACTCTCGTATCCACAATTGTACATCCTACAAAAATCAGTTGAGGTGTCAACTTTGTAAAATATTTTTTACTTCATATATAAGACTTGAAAAGCATTTAGAAGTATTACACTTGAAAAAGAAACAGTTACGGTGCCAAAAAGAAAATTGCCACTTTACCTGTGTTTCAGAGCCTGCCTTTGTGTTACACAAGCATTTTCATTTTCTCACAGAGCAAGAAAGTGATAGAAATGAAGATGACACATATCTCTCAGAAAACGTTACTGAATCAGACACAGAGAGCCACACGATAACACATGCTATGGATCCTGGAGCTGGGGAAGTTACAATAATGGATGATATCCAGGGTATTGTCACATCTCCTGATATTGCTGATCAAGTGTCATTTTTGCTTGACGAAAAGAGTTTTCTTTCTGACGGTCAGCCCATAAACATAACCACTGATAATAAAGGTACAAAGAACATGAAAGATCAGAGGAGAACATTGAGCGTGCAAGGCGTCGTGGGAGAGGAGCATAAAGAAGCCGGAAGAAAAATAAAAAAGAATTATCAAGAGGATAAAACAACCCACAACAAATCAGAGTCAATTAATGAGTCTGTAAAGGAAGTACAAGTATTTCAGTGTCCTTTCTGTGATATAAGGTTTAATGCACAAAAGATATTTCAGGACCATATAAAGGAAATCCATAGATTAATGATGAAGTCAGGGAGTGAGGTTGATGCTCCACCGGTAAATTCTAAGTCGGATGGTAGAGGTAGAAGAGAAAATGTCAGAGACTCAGTAATTGGTAAAGATATAATCGGTAATTTTGGTATAAAAAAAAACTTCAATATAACACCAGAGGACCTGACATACACAGTAGAAAGACTGAAAGGAAAAATAAGCAAGTCTTAGAATTGTATAATTTATTGGAGTTGTCGGATGAATTTCAACTTAAAGACAAGAATACTTCCCGGTGTTTGTGGGAAATTTTATCTTTTGAACATGAGGACGCTGATGATGAGAGTAATGAGGATGGAAAGAAAGATGACTTAAATAAGAAATGGAATAAACTGAATACAAAAAGATCACATAAATGTATGAAATGCTCAAAGATATTTCCTTCCAAAGCTCATCTAAAGGAACATGAAGTCAGCCATTCTGATGAGCAGCCATACAGGTGCCATGTTTGTGATAAAGGTTTCAAGCGAAAGAATGCTTTAAGCAAACACATGCGAATCTTTCATGCAGATGCACCAAATAATGTATATTGTTCCTGTGGCAAAGTATATGCTTCTCGGGAATTGATGGAAAAGCATAGAGAATGTAGTGGGAGTCATAGATTGCTAGTGTGTTCAGAATGTGGGGCATTGTACAAAACAGAATCAAGTCTGAAAAGTCATATGATGCTTCATAAAGAAAGTAAAGGTAATGACACCAATACTTCATGGCCGTTTACATGCCAAATTTGCTGTGAAAAATTAAGTAGCCAAGCATCTTTGAATAACCACATTGTTAATTCTCATAGCACCAATGCTTTTCAGTGCCATCTATGTGATAAGATATGTAAAACCAAACAGCTACTGTCACAGCATTCTTTGAGAAAACACAAGATTGGCAACAGAGAGTTTCCTTGCCCAGTTTGTGACAAAGTGTTCCACATATCAAAAGATCTTCGTCGTCACATGCATTCTCATAATCCAGAAGGATCACAAGAGTGTTGTGTTTGCCACACAAAATTTAAAACCTATGCTACATTACAGTCACACATGAAGATACACTCAAAGGGTAAACCTTATGATTGTATAATATGTCTTTTTCCATGTGCTACAATTGACAACTTAAGAAGCCATTTATGTTCATGTCATAATATTGAAGTAGTTGGGAATGATTTTGTGCATACCTGGAATTGTAAATGTCTTGTGTGTGGTCAAATTTTCCTCCGTCGATCTGGTCTGGCCTTACATATGAAGTCGCACTTAGGGTATGAAGATACTGAACTTGTATTTGTTGAAAACACCGGTGATACCACAGTTAGTCCCAATACTGATATAAGGAATGAATCATATCAAGGGTCTCACATCAAAATACATACACGAGTTATAGAACTTAAGAAGGAACATAACATATTACCAGAAAGTTCTGAGCTGAAAATTCAGGTCAAAGAAAGGGATTGGAAAAGTAAAGCACAATTGAGACCTGAGAAAACCAAACTATTGGTAGACAATGAGACAAGTTCATATAATGACATATATGCAGGATGTCTTACTCAAGGTGATAACACTGTGAGCAAGGAATCACAAGCTGAAACTTACTCTGTTGTAGAGGAAGATGATTTTGTGTCTGAGCCATTTATCACTAGTAAGATAGCTGAAGAAAGGTTATTAAGTGTGTGCAAAGAGCCAACAATTGATACTGTTGTAGTGCAGGGTCAAACTTGTAACATTAATGAAGTTTCTAACATTGTACAAGGGATGGCTTCAAATGAAGAGGAGGAAACCAGATACATATGTGGAGAATGTGCTGTTGTCTTCACTGATGTAAATGACCTCAAGGATCATTTGTTGACATGTTATCAACAAGAAACTAATGATGAATATGTCGTTGTATTTGAAGTTGATGAAAACACACAAAAATCTTAACTGGAATACTGTATATTTAGTTGTTCATATACAGTAATTTCTAACAACACCTTTGGATATTTTTCCCTATTTTCCACAATTGAGGTTTTTGTAATAGCCTTACAATGCATATTAATGCTTGCATCAGTGTCACTACCTGTACAGGGTATTTCAAAAAGTAGGTTTTGTTTGCGTACCGTATATTATAAGTACAGGTACAGTATGTTCATTATTTAAGAAAGTTTATATTACAATGTATATGATAAGAGCTAAAGTAATGTTTTTCATATGTACTGTATAAACTGTAAAATTGAAAATGTTGGAGAGTAAAATGTGTTTGAATTTCTCCCATATACAGTAAAACCTCGAATAATGACCGTAATGTGACCTCCAATACTGCAGTGTAAGGTGAACCATCATGTCGTGAATCATTAATTACCATTAAAATAAAGCAATGATAATGAGACGCATTCCCTAATGTTAACTTTTCATATCTTTTGTGTGGCTTTTTTACTGTCTTTTCCCCCAAAACAATACAATTAATGAAAAATTATAATGCTATTCTTTATATAATGTTTATGAATGCACCTTATACAGTACAATATGGTCACACAAGAGGAGATGGAACGCCATTGTTGTTGTCAGTGGACCAGTTGACGGTTCTGGGTCAACACAAGAGATACACTGTGTCACGTTCGTAGAGTGATACGGTATATATAATTTAAAGTCCTCCTATAATAGGCGAGATAAGTTTATTTCTCTAGAAACAGGGCTGCCATTTCCAATGACGTCACTAGTTTCAAACAGCTGCAATCGTAGGTAGTAGAAAGGATGGCCTCTACAGACCCTAAATGCCACATTCAGGTAAGTTTTAAGGGTGTATTTTTATGGTCATAAGTCATGGACATTTTGTAAGTGAATAAATGTGCTGTGAAGAGCAACCTCAAACATAGGTTGGATGTAAATGGGACTGCCCATGACCCAATAGGTCCCTGCAGTTCCTCCATTCTTACGCTCTTTTGGACATTAAACCTTCCATGTTCACACCAGCTCAGCTGTCATGTATTCTTACCTGGTAGACTTTCTCTTTTTCTTTCAGTTCATTTACAGATTATATCAGTACTAGATGGAGATACTAGTCAATTTAGAACTGATGACATTGTCTGGATAATGCCTGATGCTAGCTGAACATGACAATGCTGTTACGTATTGTTTTGATTCACTAATGAACCACTGGGATCTATCATCATTTATATTAATTAATGGGTAAAATTTTACTTTAACTACCATAAGTATTTTGATGTTTAGATTTGAGATAGGCTAAATTAGTTATATTTTAAGTTTGGTCATTCCTGTACTCAGACATGCAGAAGATGTTTTTTTGCTGGTGGTTGCGATGTGTTATGAACAATTTAGACCTTCATTTCTATTGAAAATCACTAGTTTTGAGTTACTCTGCCCCCCCACTTTGCCAATGTATGTTAAGCTAACCTTGTAACTCATCATCCCCTAACGTAACCTAACATATGATCTGTATTTTCTTATGCGATCGAAAAATGTTTTGCAACAAAAGTCCTGTAGAGATAATGTGTTATTGCTTAAAGTACTTAATCCCATAGTTAGAATCTTTAGGTTCCCCAGATGACCAAAACAATATCAATATTGTTTGGAATGTTTGTACTATGAAATTTGTTGTATGGACAGCTAATGTCCATTGAATTAGTTATGTGCTTAATAATATTTATATATTCAAAATAGTATTACTGTGTTAAACAATAGAGCACAATTAATTATCTATTAATATTTATTATGGAGCCGATCAGCCGAGAAGGTTGGACAACTACAGATGGCTACCTCCCGCTGGGAAGTTCACCCCAACCAGTGACGTCACAACCAATCACAGAGCTCTGTGCAGTCACGTGAGTTTTTAGCAACTTTAGCCCTTATTTTTGACACTTTTTGGCCCAATTTATTTAAAAGTATCATTACCATAATGAATTTAACCATTAGGCCCTGGGTGACATTCCAGAACGTCTGCTTATTCCCGCCACTTTTTTTTTAATACTCTGTAATTATTTTTGGATTTTTTTTGTGGGGGGGGGGGATGTACTGCCAGCAGCACCCTAACCCAGGGGCTTAAGGTTTAAGCATTTTCTTTACCCAGTGACCTGCCATCTTACGAAAAAATTACGACTGTCAACTGGTCCATTGGCCTGCAAGAGAACCCATCAACTCGGCTATTTCTGTGTCCTTATGAGAGAATACATTGTTTAATGGCAGATACATTCAGTACAGTATTGTGCTCTAAGTTACTATGTGGCGAGAACCACCTGATATTTTTTTGATGTTAATAAATGACTTGTTCACTAAATTCAGATTCTTCAATTACATATGAACCAGTGAGGCTCCTGGGTACACAATGTTCGCTCAGGTTTACTGTACACATTTTGAACCTGTCCACAAAAAAAAAGATTACAGTAAACCCTTGTTGTTCGCGAGGGATAAGTTCCAAGGTATGATGCAAATAGGCAAAACCGCAAATAGCAACATACTGTATACCTATACGAAACAACCGACCAGCCGCAGCACTACTCATCCCCTCCTTTAACTTATCTAATAATAAAACTTTCTTTGTCAGTGTCATCAATGACTTCTGCCTTTTACATTTCACTCCACTAGCATCACTAGCACTGACACTAGGCAGTCTTTTAGGGTCCATTTCACACAGAAACACTAAAGTTTTGAGAGTAAAACATAAAATGATGTGTGGGGTGACTCGTTGTGCTGCGGGAAAAACCTTGCAAGCTAGCCACCATCCGCTTACAGCAAATCATCGAATTTGCTAATGGGAAGGGTCTACTGCACTATACAGTCGTCCCTTAACATACACGGGGGTTAGGTAACAAAGATAACCGTGAATGTTAAAAATCCGCATACTATTACTGCCCCCCCACGTAAAAAAAACCCTGGCCCCCCCCCAGGGTAATAGATTCGTTAGGTTGAAAAATATTTACCAGTAACTACCAGTAAACAATGGAAACGACGCACCAATGCACCACCAGCTGTAAGTGTCGGTACAGTTGCCAGGGCAGATCTCTCGCGTCATCATAGCAAGCCCAAAGTAGCCAAATCCATGGTATGGTAGCACAGGACGATGTAAAACAAAGTATTCATTTTTAAAAGTTTATTTATAGATACTGTACATAAATTTTTGTTCATTACATTTGAAACATCAATCTTTGTTAATTAATTTTGAAACAAAAGAAAACTACGATACCGTATTTTCATTAAAATATTACATCACAAGTATATTTTACCTTAACTGTGACTGAATGAATATATTCTCAGAAATAAATATGGAAATGTAATATTTTGGCTGAATTGACATACATATTACAGTGGAAAGTGGGATCAAATCATGACGAAAACAATGACTTTCGCTTTCTTTCGTTGTTCAAAAAGATTTTCCCGTAATCGCTTTTCGAATGGTTTTCAGTTAAAAAATTGTTGTACCGTACTGTATTACAATAATATTCTATCTTATCATTAGCCTCATAATCCTACGACTGAAAACCATTCGAAAAGTGATTACGGTAACATCTTTTGAACGAAAGAAAGTGAAAGTCATTGCTTTCGTCACAATTTTATCCCACTTTCCACTGTAATACATACATCATTTCAGCAAAAATATTACATTTCCATATTCTCAGAAATAAATAGTAGTTTTGTTGAAACGCAATGTACAGTATTTAATATTAAAATGCAAAAAGAGCTATAAAACAATTAATACTGTACACCCGTAATGTACTAGCTGGCATCTCCACTCCTCCCTGCTCCCGCCTCCAGCGTCACCACTCCTCCCATCTCTATCCCTCCGCCTCTTCCACATCGTCACTACTGTTGTATTACAACAATATTCTGTCTTAATTCACTTGAATAAATACTACGATACCATATTTCTGAATATTTTCATTAAAATCCAATAAAATCATTTTCCTTGTCACTTAAGTGAAAACATATATAATACACTAATACTGTTAAACCAAAAAGAGTGTTAAATAAGGGGAGATACAAACAAGAATAGTAAATTATTAAATTTTGGGTACATAAATTTAAGTGTGGTGTGTATAACCTAATGGTAGAGGGTACAAGTGCAGTATAGTAATAAAAAAGTTTGATTAATGATAAAAAAACTTTATAAACTTTACAGACATGGTATTGAGTATCTCTTGTGACCTTTTCCTGTAATGCAGTACATTATCATGTTTTTTCTCAAAATAAATAACATTACAAAACATTCAACCTTATCATAGTTCAATTGCAGTTGGTTTGATCAGTCACTTGTAAATAGGAGGTCCTGAGGCCACGGCTAGTGATGATATCCTTGACTCTTTGGACTGCTGAGGCATTTGGTTTCCGATTTCTCATCAGAATCCAAAGGAGCTCTGTAACCAAAAGTTCTTCGTCATGTATGACTTATAAGTTTATATGTTATTTTTTCAGGCAATGACCCCTTTAATATTTAATGAAACCACTTTCTTTCATACTCATGACACAGACAGGCTCAGTTCAGCATGCACATAATACAGGGTGTCTCAAAAGTCCCCCATACCCAAAGTTTGGGGCTTGGTCCGTTTTTCACACTTCCTGTGTCACAAAAACGTTTCACCAGTTCATAAACAGTAGTCTTACATGGTGTCGGGAAATCTCCTTTTAAAGATTTCAACACACTGTTGATAAGATTTACACTCAAAGTACGCCTCCAACAGAGTGACCCTCTGTGCCTACGGAAGACTCATTGTCGACTGACTCACACTTAAGTCCCTCTACCCGCTCATGCGCGAAGTCAGGTGACTTGTACATTACTCAGCAATCTTCTGCGACGCTGCCAGCATGTGTCGCATGAAACCATGAATGGCTATCGTTAGCCATTAAACTACTATAAATTGCCAAACTTTGAGTATGGGGACTTTTGAGACACCCTGTATAATACTGTACTCATTTATTTGTTGTATGGTAGCAAAGGAAATACTGAGTCTGAGAAAAATTTACCCCTGACCATTTGTCACGAAGGACTTTCTGAAAGTACTTCCTTTTCTACCATGCTACCATATGTCAAAATGAATACTACTCTACTCAATGGACGAGTTGTCGGTTCTGAGTAAACACAAAAAATACACTCTGCCACGTTCGTAGAGTGATACTGTATAGTATATAATTTAAAGTCCTCCTATAATAGGTGAGATAAGTTTATTTCTCTAGAAACAGGGCCTATATTTCCAATAACGTCATCAGTTTTCCTGCAGACAACATTCTCCAACAAACTCATCGCTGCAGTCGTAGGTAGTACAAAGGTTGGCCTCGTCAGACCCCAAATGCCACGTTCAGGTTTTAAGGGTGTTTTTTTTTATGGTCTTAAGTCATGGACATTTTAGACTAGGGAAAATAATGAAAGTCCCAGAACAAATTGCAATACTGTAGTAATAATTTTAACATTATTCAACTTGAACACATGACTAAAATAAAATTGTAAAAGTATAACTGAATAAAAGAAATGGGAATACTGTTTAAAATGCATAAATTAAAAATGGCCATCAAATAACCGAGTCATACCTGGTGGAGGCTGATTTTATCAACATATTTGTGACACAACTTGTATATATACCACAATGAATTGTTAGTGAACATGCTACCCTTTTCAATGCTAAACCCATCCTCACATTTGATCAGCCATTTTGGCTTGAGGCACTTATGATACAAGAAAGCAGTCATTCTGAAACTGTCATTAGATCTAGTGTTTTGTGCCTCGGAGACTTCCATATTCAAATGAGCTACCTTGGATGTATTGGTCACATAATGTCAGGGTCTGAGCTTCAGGAGCTGTTAGAAACTGTTTATGCCAGTAATGCTGTGCCACACATTCTCAGTGGTAAGGCAATTGTCAGGGCTGGCCGTGGGCATCTTCCTGTCAGTGCTGCTGTCCACATGCTACTTGTATCAAAAGTCTCTTAAATTGTGTTACCAAACAAAGCGGAGGTTGTAGATGCACCAAACGATAATTCAGTTTCTGTAGATGATTTGAGAAGCAGTTCACCTGAGCAAAAGCAAGCTCCTTCAGACATACTGAAAAAATGCAGAAACTTCATGATGACCTGATGGCTGGAATAATCACATTGGAAGATGTAGAGAAATTGGCCACTTTGGAACAGATACAGCATCAGCTTGATATGGCCAAAGAAGATTTGAAAAAATCATGGACCTCCAAGCCTTGGTTTACAGTACTTGGAAATGATTAATATCCTCCAAGCATTCATCAGGGCTGAATGCATAAGAAATTGGATACTGCATCTGACTGTGATGAGAAAGATGTTGCCATTCATAGCTTCTGGTCATAACCATTACACCAAATCACTTTTTCTGTCTCTGCAGAAAATGGATCATCTAGAGGAAGAGCATCCAGAAGTCTATCAACATTTCCTACAAGGACTCCATGTGGTCAGAAGATCAGATAGGTTCTGGGCTGGGTTATCCCCTGGACTGACTCGTGGGCGAGGTATGGGTGAGACACCACGTATGGTATGACTGCTTTCAAGCAGTGTCACATCTGAAGTAAACTTGGCAATGCAAGAGATGTCTGCAGTCACCTATGAAACTAGCAAGCAACACATCAACACATCAAATACCAGAATGACAAGGGATGTGTCTAATACTCACAAGATGGTTAGTAGTTTCTTGACGTCAAGGAATCCCTTCATAGATAATCATGAACTGTACTGTTTGGTCACTGGGGTGTCAGCAAATGAGTCTGTTAATGCTGATCAAGCATCAGATGTTGGTAATAAAGTCTTTCAAAATATGTTTGGGAAATGTAACGCAACACTTTCAAACGTAAAGAACAAGTGATCTCTCTCAGCAGCAAGAGTGTTTTAAAAATCAAAGATGATGATATCATCATTGATCCCTGGCTCTTGTTCCAGAGACTTGTTACTGTAGGCTCACAAAATGGCAATCTAGCCGAAGCAATTGAATATGAACTCTGTAGTTATCCACCCGCACTCTTTAAGAACAGGATAACTCCAAGACTCGCAACAAAGTCTGCATTCGCTGATGCATTGTGTAAGATGATGCCACTTGATATGCCTGCTCCATCAAGTGATGTCCAGTACAGTATGTACTGGATGTCGGTGCATTGCTCCATAGATTAAGGTGGAGCCAGGGAATGACATATGATAATCTCTGTCAAGCCTACACAAAGTATGTCTCATCTAATTATGGCAGAGCCATAGTCATATTTGACGGATATCCTGAGGAACCATCAACTAAAGATGTGACTCACCTAAGACGAGGCAAGAAGTATGTTGGTGTTCGTGTAAATATATCTGGTTCCATGGTGTTCCAAGGGAAGAAAGAAGATTTCCTCTACAATGTAGTCAATAAACAGAACTTCATCTTCCTGCTAGCTAATCATTTGACTCGATCGGGTTGTTGTGTTAAACGTGCCAAAGCTGAAGCTGACTTGGTTATCGTTCAGAATACCATTGCTACTGCTCACAAGACTCCTACTAAGCCTGCAATCATGGTTGCTTATGACACAGATATTCTAATTGTGTTGTGTTGGCATATGACACCAGAAACTCCATCCATATACTGTATTTCAAACCTGAACCTCGTCAAGGCAGCAAAGAGCCCCAAGATGCTGGAATATGGAAGTATTGTGAACAATGTTTGGTTCAGAAGTCTGTGATAACATTTTGTTTGTGCGTGCCATTCTAGGGTGACACCACATCATCTTTGTATGGTGTGAGCAAGATGATAGGTCTCAAGTTAATTAACACAAATAGGGTATTCCTGGAGCAAGCACAAGTGTTCTCTAAATGTGACAGGCAGATATTATTAAAGCTGGGGAAAGTGCATTAGGTCAAATCTACAAAGGTCTCCAAGGATACACATTGAATTTTCTTAGGTTAGAACAATTCTACCAAAGGGTAGGCAGTAGTACATCATTTGTGCACCCTGAAGGGCTCCCACCTTCATCAACTGCTGCAGCATATCTCAGTTTGTGTGTATATTTGCAAGTTAAGGAGTGGATGGTTAATGCAACTACTATGTCACCAGAAGATTGGGGATGGTACAGACAAGGTGACAAGTTTCTTTCAGTTCTCACAGACAAACCATCAGGTCCCACATATTTGCTTTAAGTAGTCAGATGTAACTGCAAAGCCGGATGTAATACTAGACAGTGTACATGCTGCAAGAATGGACTCGATTGCTCCACAGGCTGTGGCCACTACAGAGGTGTTTGTACTAACATGTCACAGTCAGATGATGAGGATGAATGAATAATCAACTCCTAAGATTTTCTTACCTACCTCTGGTATACATATAATTATTATTATGATTCATTTTTATATAGTGGCCTAATTATCTTGTTATGGTACATTGTTATGCTCTATACAGTTCATAGTTTTCAACAGTGTGGTATTTTGATATTTCGTTAAGCAAATGACTAAGTTTCTTGAATATTCGCACAGTTTTTGTTTAAGTGAACAATACATATACTATATAATCTGCATGTCAATTTGGTTCAGTTCTGTATTAATACTGAATAATACATTTATATTATAAAATCATATTTTGCTTTATGTACTTTCATAAAATTTTCAAACAATCCAGAAAAATACAATATTACTCAAGTATCATCATTAAATATCTAATTTTTAATTGGAATACTGTATGGTACAGTATATTCTTGTGGCAGCAATTTTTTAATAATGTGGAGTTGGCAATGTTCCCAAACTTGGATTTAATTAAACTTTACATATGTTATTTCAGACATATTCCTGAGTTTAATAATACGAATTTCATTACCATTGCAATTTGTTGGTGGTTGACCCTCATTTTTCCCTAATTTCCCGAGACTATTTCTTAAGTGAAGAAATGTGCTTACGGATATTAAAAACTTCCATGTTCACACCAGCTCAGCTGTCATGTATTCTTACCTGGTAGACTTTCTCTTTTTTTTCCAGCTCATTTACAGAGTATATCAGTACTAGATGGAGATACAAGTCAATTTAGAAGTACAGTAATGACATTGTCTGGACTTTATTTTGAGAATGCATTGGGATACAGCTCCTCCCCAACTTACGACGGGGTTAGGGACCCAAATCCAGGTCATAAGTCGAAATGGTAGTAAGTTGAAAATGCTTAAATAATACTTAGAAAATCTAAAATGGGCGTCTCTTTTTCTTCTCAGCACCACAAAACTCTCACTTTTAAGCTTGTCAGCCATTTTAAAGTGAATTACAAACTAAAATTTTCTCTGTACTGACCGTGGGACTCGAAAATATATAATTTGACAAAATTTGGGTACGACTGAGGCAGATCGTAAGTGCAGGTGGTCGTAAATCAGGGAGGAGCTGTATATCATCATTAAATTAATTAATGGGTAAAATTTTACTTTAACTACCATAAGTATTTGGAGTTAAGATTCGAGATAGGCTAAATAGGGTAAATTTTAAGTTTTGGTCATCCCAGTCCTTAGACATGCAGACTATATATTTTTTTATTGTGGTTTGCGATGTTTTATGAACGATTTAGACCTTCATTTCTATTGGAAATCACTAGTTTTGAGTTACCTCCCCCTTTACTGATGTATGTTAAACTAACCTTATAACTCATCATACCCTAACCTAACTTAACCTATGACCTGTATTTTCTTATGTGATCAAAAAATGTTTTGCGACAGACATCCCATAGAGATAATGTGTCTTATTGTTTAAAGTACTTAATCCCATAGTTAGAATCTTAAGGTTCCCCAGATGACCAAAACCAAAATATACCAATGCTGTTTAGAATGTTTATACTATGAAATTTGTAGTAGGGGCAGCTAATATCCATTGAATTAGTTAATGTGCTTAGTTATATTTATAAATTCAATATAACATTACTGTGTTGCTCAATAAAGAACAATTATTTATCTAATAATACAGAGCTGATCAGCCGAGAAGGTTGGACAACTACTTCCAGGGTTCATCAAGGCAGATGAAAGAAATTTACCCAAAGTAGATGTCTTTATGATTGTAGAGTATTATCAAGAACTCTGTCATCCAGCTATGAAGCACGTTGAATTACATCAGTCATCTGATCATCTCAAGCCCATCCCTTGGCCATGGTCGTCCCTAGTCCTTCCACAACATTAAGTACAGACATCAGTGATGAAAATTTACAATTTCCAGACATGAAATAGAGAACAGTGATGAAAACTTCTATGTTGGAGTTATCGGTCTTTTGTATCATTTTGGCACCCAGCAAGTACCGGGTAAATACACACGCTGATAATTGAGCAGTAATTTATTTTAACCTAAAAAAGGTATGCCTGTTTTTATCAACAGTGTATATGGCCACAAGTCTTGTATTTTTGCTGGTAACACATACACCACAGCTGGCTGCTTCCAGGCTCCTGCTCAGCTGCTTGAGCCAACCTGTGATGTCACAACCAATCACAGAGCTTTTTGCAGTCATGTGACTTTAACCCTTATTTTTACACTTTTTGGCCCAATTTATTTAAAATTATCATTACCATTGTGAATTTAAGCATTTTCTTCACCCATTGACCTGCCATTTTACAAAAAATTCTGACCGACAACTTGGCCATTACAGTACTTAAGAAAGTTGGTAACCATTCATCAATGTTATGCCCCATGCATAAACAAAATGCTTTATACTCACGAGTATGGAAGAATCCCATGTCTTCACAGGACCACACAATGGCATAGTTGGAATAATTCGTGTCAAGTACCCAGTAGTTTCCATCACTTCTAGCTCCAGTCAGACCTGGAACTGTATAACAGTGTTTCTATCCCTGAATAATTTCAAACAAGTAAAGGACTAAAGTGTAATATATAGTTTTTTCTTTCTAATTAGTGATACGCTTTGTAATGTATACAGTTATGCCTAATAATTGACTAATTGGCTGACTACACTCAAAATACAGTATACTCTACTCTCACGTTTTGGATACTGTTAATAAGCACTATTTGGTTATTTTACGTGAAATATATATTTTAACATGTAGAACTAAAGTTCTAGAGAATTTGATATTAAATACATGTTGACCCTTGACAAAAGAGGAACTAAAATCACAAGGACAGGGGTTCTTAAACTACAAAGTTCCTGGTGTAATTTGGGGAACTGAAGAACTAGCTATACAGTTTTACCCCGCTTAACGCGCTTTCACTTAACGCGTTTTCGCATATACGCGGTGCCTTGCCAAAGCTGAACTTTCACTTAACGCGGGTTTTTTCCACATATACGCGGTGAGTGTCCGAGACGCTATTTTTAGATTTGCCCCACCCGCCACCCTGCCTGACTGCCTGTTTTAGCTCATAAAATTCATACAAATTACCAGGCCAGAATATAATTTACATTGCTGGAATTCTTATAATTTGGTGATCATTTTGAATATAAACATCATATATTTTGCTTTAAACTTACAATTTTTAGATAAAAATTTTTCTCTAGGTAACTATGTTATCTTTTGTGCAAAATATATGACATTTATATTCAAAATATTCCTGGTCTTACAAGGAATCCAGCAATGTCAATTATATTTTCCTAACTTTAGTTTGAGGTTATCCCACACATCTCCTTGGGACGGTTGGTGGGGGGTGGGGGGGGGAGGGAGGGACCGACCGACCATCTGTTAGCCGGCTGTGTAGTGTGAGAGGGGGAGGGAGTTGAGTCCATTATTTGAATGGACATTAACTTGGCGACTGTATTTCTCTATTTCTCTTAAGTATTAATTGTGTGCATGTACCATCATAAAATTAAGATGTTATTTTTACTACAACTAAGGTATGTGCCTTCAAAAAGTGGAGTTTGGGGGTCGGGCCGGTTTCTATTGGAATTAATCCCATATGTTCTGTTGTTCACTTAACGCGGATTTCACTTAACGCGGGACCCTCTGGGTTCAATTGACCGCGTTAAGTGGGGTACAACTGTAGTGCATTTTTTTCCAGCTGAGAAGAGATGCCCCGCTCACTTCTCAAGAGTTACAGCTGATTGGCTGTAGAAAAGGGGCGAGGGCAGAAAAGTAGCAACTGAGTGAGGTATGATATTTGAGGAACAGGAATTTTAAGGTAATGGATACAAAAGTCTTGGTATAAGATGTGAGAAAGCTGGGAAGGATAGGACAAGATAAGTAAGAGAGAACAAATATTGAGGGAACTAGAATGAGTGCCACAGATGACATGAATGAAAGAAACATTACTTACTCATGACGTTATTGAAGGTGACGGACAGCTTGGCCTCGGAAGTAGAGGACACACTCACTGCCTGCCCCCGAATAGTGGTGACCCTATTATCAAACCTGTAATACAGTATGTACTGTAGCAAGTGTAAGTAATTATGGCAAGTTTACTCAGTTTCCATGGGTACTTTGTATATTATGATGAAATTTTTGTAACTTACAATTCAACATGTGCAGTTCATACACACCCCTTCCCATTAAGTACAATATATCGTGTACAGTACCTGTATTGTGTCTCTTACAATATTTACCAAGTCGAAGTCACTTGATGTTTATCTTCAAACCTTGCAATTTTAGTTATTTCTCAAATCTAGCTGCCAAAAATAAATGAATTTTGAAAAGAAAATTGATACCCTCCTTTATAATTATTTTTGTATTGATATGTAATAGACTGGAGGAAAATAATATAATTTCTTTGACTGAAAAAAATACCAGAATTCAATCCAAAGTTTGTTTTTGTGTATCATGTTGACAAGCAGGTACATTACATGATCTTTCCACTTTACAAGATTTTATTACTTGAAAACTTTAAATATGTTCCTCAGTCATATTTTACATACAGTATCTATTTGAATTACAGTAGACACTTGCCATTCATGGGTTTGTGATTCGTGATTTTAATGATTCGCAGTAAGCATATGGTGGCTAGCCTGTGCCTTTTCCTGCAGCACAAGTCACTCCACGCAGCATGTTGTACTCTCAAAACTTTAGTGTATCTATGTGAAATGGCCCCTAAAAGACTGCCTAGTGTCAGTGCTAGTGATGCTAGTGGAGTGAAATGTAAAAGGCAGAAGTCAGTAATGACCCTGACAAAGAAAGTTGAATTATTAGATAAGATAGTAAGTTAAAAGAGGGGATGAGTACTGCCACGGCTAGTCAATTGTGTGGCACTGTATCGGTATACTGTACAGCAGTGCACTAAGGTAATTACTGTATAAGTTGCTATTCGCACTTTTGCCTATTTGCGCCATTCTTTGGAACCTATCCCCCACGAATAACAAGGGTTTACTGTACATGTATATATTTTTTGAGCTGTGAAGAGTTAGAATTTTTATTTTATTTGCCACCCCCTAATATGAAAAAAAGGTATCTGACAAACAATTACCAATAAATAAAAATATTTGGCCTTTAGGAGTTCTTTGCTGAGGTTACATGTCCAAAACATTAATATGCATTACAGTACATAAGTTTCTGCAGACATGTAGCGTACAGTGCAGTATAACTACAGTATATTCATCACGATGTCAACCATTTGATTGATAAATATACTGTATACCCAAAACCAAACCCCGTGCCTCCAGGAAAACAGTACAAGGAGACTGTTACACATGAACCATGCAGCAGTTGACAAAGAAAAGAAGAAAACTCAGAATTTCGAAATGTGGCTAAGGAAAATGATAAGCAGAAAAGGAGGATGTATATCAGATCCAGGAACTAAGCAAATTCAGAGTGTAGAAGGGCTGAAAAAGAGTTCCAGAGGCAGATTGCTTTTTACCTCTACGCAAAGTCGAAATTAAAAACGCGAGTAGGCATATTGGACGTGATGCTTGAAGATGGAACTTACGCAGATTCTGACCAGTATAAGGTGGAGGAGTTGAACAAATTCTTTTCCTCAATGTTCTCAAGAAAGGATGCGAACAATCTTCCTGTGTTTGAGGAAAGATGGTTTGAATTGACTGTTTGACACAGAACTGACCCACATTGCATTCTCGGATGAGGTTATAAGAGAGTGTCAAAGCTAAAGATTCACAAGAGTCCCGGCCCAGGTATAGTACACCCCAGGGTGTTAATAGAACTGTGTAACAAGCTTGCAGAGCCCCTTAAGATCCTGTTCCACAAATGCCTGTTGGAGCAAAAGGTTCCCAATGACTGGAAAATGGCTTATGTGAGTCCTATCTTCAAGAATGGCAATCATCACTCCATGAATAATTATAGACCAGTGAGCCTGACCAGCAAAGTACTAGAGAGCAGTATATGAGATGCCATGATGGAGCATCTACTACGAAACAATCTTGTAAAGGACTGCCAACATGATTTTATGCCAGGAAAATCCTGCTTAACACAATTAGTACTCAAGGTCCTGGATGTTTGGACTCAAATTCTAGAACAAGGTGGAAATATCGACAAAATATACCTAGATTTTGCCAACGCTTTCGACAACTTACCCCATGACAGGCCGAAAATTAAATTGGAAGGGTACAGGTTTAGGGGAACTGGATCGGTGACTTTCTTCACGATCGCAAGCAGTGTGTGGTGATTAATAGCATGAAATCGTCATGTGTAACTGTGACAAATGGGATACAACAGGGTAGTGTATTGGGTACGTTGTTGTTTGTTTGCTTCATAAATGACATGCCAGAAGTTATACACCCCTCTATACAAATGTTTGCGGACGATGCCAACTTATTTAGGGAAATTAAGAACCAAACAGACTGTGAAGAGCTGCAGAAACATCTCTGTGAGCTTCAAGAATGGTAGAAGAAATGGCAGCTAAGATTCAATGTCACGAAGTGCAAAAGGAAGCACCTGGGTTGCACCAATAGTAAGGAAGTGTATTACATGTCCCAACAGGATGAAGAGACTGCATAAATAGAGACCAGATGTGAAAAGGACCTGGGTGTGTATGTCGACAATGAACTTAAGTTCTCGGGCCATTGTGAGAAGGCGAATCAAGCAACGAAACTAGTTTGTCCTATAAGGTCTTTAAATATTTACAGTCTGTCCCTCATAACGATCTTCAAGTGAGTTGCTTCCCCGTTTGGAGTATTGTCACCCTGTCTGGTCCCTGAGGTATGCTAGAGACTGTCAGTTGATTGAAAATGTCCAAAGGAGGGCCGCCAAACTGGTGCCTGCTCTACGGCACCTCAGTTGCCCTGAGAGATTAGAATGCCTGCAACTGTCTAGCTTATACTACAGAGGAGCAAGCGGGGACCTAACTGAAGTGTACAGACATCTCAGAGGGCACTACTCAATCGAGTGTACATACTTGGAGCTGGTGGACGCCCACCCCATAAGGGCTCACAGCTCAAGGTTGAAGAAGCCACAAGTACAGAAAACTGTGTAATCCACTAAGAAACTGCTCATTGTTGTATTTTATGAAGTAGGGATAAGCTTGTAATGGTTGTCTCGAGCTGTTTCTCCAGAAAACCGTGAGGGCAAACTTTTTTGGAGTGAGAATTGTGAACTCTTGGAACTATATGCCAGAGTGTTGTGAAGTCACCGAGAGTGAGCTCATTCAAGACCAGACTTGACCAACACTGGAGCAGGTTTAGATACATTCAGGAGCTAGTGTATGCCCAGTACTTGCCAACAGTGAATAATACAGATGTGACCGATCGCCCAAGCGCCTAACGTGCTGATCAGTGGTGAAGAGGGTAAAAGAAAAAGGGAAGTACTGTATGTACTAAACTGTAAAGTCTTTGAAGTCTAAGGAAAGTGTCACAGTGGATACAACTAAGAATACATTTATGCACTGAAACAAAGAAATATGTAATGATGTTTTCTACTGTATACAAATCTAATTTTCTCAAGGGACTGTAAACTTATACTGTACACATGAGGTAATTTATTTTTATTGGTAATTCATCACATGCACTATAAACGGCATGTGAAAAAGTGAAAGTGGGTCTCGGGCATAACTGCCCGGACAGTGTTGATACAACACAATGTATAATATACTGTACTGAGTCTTTGGTACACAAGGAGGCAGCATGGCTTGTACTGCACTCTACTGCCTTCACTTGCTCAAATTGTAAACTTTGATACCCACTTACAGCTGGGTGAACTGGAAGTGCTTGAGGATTTAAGCAACGACCCATGAAGTAGGAGGTGAGTGTTGTATTCACTCAACCACTACATTCCAAACTATGGTATGTTTATAAATGTTATGGATATGGAACAGTTGCAGAAATGTGGTCCTACACCCCTGCGTCTCCAAACGGCCAACTTGTATGACTTATAGCAAACCTATCCACCAATCAAGGTCTGTCGTTACATGAATAATACACATTCATTCATTCATAAGTAGTGATACTACTACTGCGATGGTGCTGTTTGAAGACACTGGTTACCACAGGGGATGTAGGAACATATTTCTGCAACTGTACAAACAATGATACCATATGACATTAATCAACATTATGTATAAGAGGTCTGATACAAAGATATTCTTGTACTTATGATTTGTGCTTGATACTTCACACATTTTATATTGATGTCATCATGCTTAAAATGGCCAATCAGTACAGAACAGTATTAAATATTGAATTCCTTGCCCATAATACACAAAAGTACCTCTGTCAACCCTTAGGTGAAATAAGCTGATTTGGAGATTCTTCAGGTGACCCCCCAAAATTATAGTTCACAATGATTTCCACCATTTTTCATCTCCAGTATTTGTTTGTTTTCATAAAAATTTATAAGGCTTTTCAATGTTTCATATACGGTACTACAGTACATTATATCACTTCCAATTATTGCATTTAAAATCTTAAAGTTTTCCCCCAAAATACAGATAAGGAACCCTTCTACAGGATACAGTACAGTACAGGTTTACTACATTACCGGTACTTTTCCCACTACAAAGACATTGTGATATATGTTTTACTGTACAGTACTGTATTTTGGTATACCCTGTACTTACACTGTTTCTTGTTTATTGATGACTCCGAAAGTAGTATCACCTGGAGATGAAAGAAAGAATTTGCTGGAAATGCATCGGCCTCCCAACTCAAAGAAGGAAAAATATTTCTCTATTTCATGCCATCTACCTGCAAACTGTAACAAAAAAGAAAAAACAGGTTACTGTATTGATAGTTGGGAGTTGTTCATTTGCAGAGGGACTACTGACCAAAAAATGCCCAGTTTGTGCCTGACATACTGTAAACCAACAATAATGTTTACATTACACTTATGTAACGTATTTCAGTTTTGTGCATTTTTCATTTAGTACAAGTTTGTTGAGACACGCCAGGATGACTTACACTTGAAAAGTCAAAGTTCTGAACGACATTTTGGTAAGGACATCTTCCCGCGAACAGAAGTTGCGCAGCTGTTTGTGACGTCACCATCAACAGCAGTATACACAACACTTGCTCCATTTTATCTGCAATATACAAGTCATTCCAACACCTTACTGTCCAAATTGACTTAGAACTTACATGCATGTAAAGGATGTAGAATGCCACTACGGTGGTTGAGAGAGTCTTGATTACAAAATATGATTACTGTACCTTTTTTTAGGGGGATAAATAATATTAAATTTAAGAAAATTTTAAGAGTAAAGATCAGTGGCGGACTGGGTAAAAAATTTCTACCAGAAAAACTTGTAAAAGGGCCCACTCAAAAGTTTCAGGTCGCATTGGTACGGACCTAGTAATGTCACATTCGGTAGCATTAGGGCGGATTGAGTTAGTATCTCATAAACCTCATATCTCTTTTTTTTCTCTTTTCCGTTAGAGTATTTCCAAAGAGATGGACCATCACTTTGGGGCCCACCGGGAAATTTCCCAGTATCCCGGTGGGCCAGTGCGCCACTGGTAAAGATCAAATACAACCCTTCTTATTTTTTAAGGTATATTTGGCTTTGGACTAATTTCTCTGAAATTCTTGGCCAGAAGACATTCCTTAACAGAGCTAATTTTCCACCAAGATTGCCATTAAGAAGCAAGGCTGTGGGCTCGTAACACACGTCTTGTCCGCGGTGCCCACCGTTTCTTTGTGGATGTCAGTCACACTAGAATGACCAGTTATACCCTGTAGTACATCCTTCTTTCCTCACACAGTCAAACTGTGGAATGCTCTGCCTTCTTCTGTGTTTCCATACTCATACAATAGCCCGGGTGGGCTATTCCCCTTAAAAACAAAACAAAATCCACCGCCAATATGGTGCGTGCGAACATGCATGAAGACATCACCGAAAACTATACCTGTAATGTAATAATTATGTGTTTACTTGTTTCTCATGTTCACTATATGTGGAAATTAAATCATGTTACCAATGGTATCAAGAAGACATATTACGATTGATAGTGTATCATAGATTTTGCTGTTTCTCCTGTAACGGTTACGAAGCACCAAGCATATGTTAAATTAAGTTGTGAGGGCTACTTTGTTTATTTCTGATAGTAAGTTGAAAGTTCATGATAAATAAAAATAAGATATTTGTTTTGTATAGTGACGGCTACTTAATAAAATCAAAGGACGAAAAACTATAGTACTGTATATCAATACAATAATAAAAAAAAATATGCTATTCATTTACAGTAACTAAATTTCTAGATTTTTGCCTTTGGCTAGTGACATTACTGGTAATAAATGACTTCACATGATGACACACACACACATGTGAACTTATTTCTGTCGAGTATTTTCACACACACACACACTACTTCTACTTAGCTGTCACTCGGAATCGAGTATGATGATTATCCAGCTATGATAAAATGATATGAGTTATTAAGGATGTCACCTTCGTTGATGAGCTCTGGGATGATTAAGAGAGGTCGATACGGAACCGGAAGAGTCGTCCACAAGTTACACATGTGGAGGGCTGCAGCTATTGCGGGGGGTCGACAGCAGCTTCTATTCTGTGTTGGTGCTTGTCTGCCTCGGTATGTAGTCGGTCTAACTCGAACGTATGGACAACTTCTCATGTGGAGCTCCTCAAGCGTTACGATGTGGAGTAATCGTCTCCCAGGTGAGGGGGTCGATTTGGCACCTTTTCAGGTTTGTCTTAAGACTATCCTTATACCTTTTCAGTTGCCCGCCAGGTGAGGAGGATTGGAACTGTAACATATTAAATCACATTTTTTTATATTAAGGAGTTTTTCTTCAAATTCTAGTTGTGACGTAATATGTGATGAAAAACAGCGTTACTAGATATAAACCAACCTTTTACAGTATATAACCCAGAAGTATATGCCAGATGTTGTCACGAGTGAGAAGGTCAGCCACTAACCCCGAAATAGTGAGCAGGTCGGTTAACTCCGAAATAGTGAGAAGGTCGGTCCTTAGCCCCGAAACAGTGAGATGGTCGGCCCTTAACCCCAAAATAGTGAGGTCAGCCATTAAACCCCGAAATTGTGAGAAGGTCGGCCACTGACCCTGACATAGTGAGAGGTTGGCCACTAACCCAGAAATAAAAGGTGGAATTGTCACTAACAAGATTAGGTGTGGTCAGGTACACCGGTCTTCAGGGGGTACCATCAATACTCCATCCCTAGCCACTACTACACCCTGCCAGAACCATCACCGCTACATGTGACAGTGGTGACGGAGTGGTAGTGGTAGTGGTGGTGACAGTGAGTGTGACAGTGGTGACTCACGAGGCAGCTCCCCTCAGCAGGATATAGGGGGGAGGCACATCCCCAATCCCCCGTGCGATCTGGTTAACCTGTGTGTGTGTGTGTGTAATATTTTTCGGCAGTGACACAGGTGCACGCTTTCCTGACAAGTGTTATACACATCTGTTATCTTGCCGACAATAAATTACGTCCTCTGCCAGGCTGCCTCTCTCTCTCTCCCTCCCTCCTATCTCATCGAATTTTCTCCATAATTAAATAAAAACAAATCAATAACAGTATAATCAAGGTGTAAAGTACTGTACGGAGTGGAGAAGCAAGAGGTAAGTGAGAGGGGTCGAGGTTGTTATAGGTTGGTAGAGCATAAGATAGACAATAGACAGATTGGTATTCATGTAAATAGTGTATAGACAAATATAATGAACGATAGGCATTAAAGATTTTACACTAATATGTTTAGCTCCATACAATTTAAATTCTCCCTTACCGGAAGCTGTTTCTTTATTGAGAGATAGAGAGATACAGTATTCTATGGGGGCGGCAGACACCATGACTGACTTGATAAACGAAGAATACGTTTGTGGTGCTGCCAGCTTTCTCTTATGTCCCATATACTTCCTTTCATATTTTCTTTCTCTACCTCACAGGGTGAAAGTCGAGGGGGAGGTAAAAATTCTGTCATGGTGAGTTTCTCATGATGAGCTCCTCGTGGGTACCATTAACACCCCAGTTCTCATGATGAGCTCCTCGTGGGTACCATTAACACCCCAGTTCTCATGATGAGCTCCTCGTGGGTACCATTAACACCCCAGTTCTCATGATGAGCTCCTCGTGGGTACCATTAACACCCGAGTTCTCATGATGAGCTCCTCGTGGGTACCATTAACACCCCAGTTCTCATGATGAGCTCCTCGTGGGTACCATTAACACCCCAGTTCTCATGATGAGCTCCTCGTGGGTACCATTAACACCCCAGTTCTCATGATGAGCTCCTCGTGGGTACCATTAACACCCCAGTTCTCATTCTCTGTGATACGGAAAATGTTAGTTCATTTGTCTCAAGATGTGTTCTGGGAGGAACATAAGGCGTGTGTGTATCTTACTATGTTGGCTTCCATAACCTGCATCTTACTCTTCAGTTGCTTTGTTAGGCCACTATACTATACTAACACGTATAATCAATCTGACATTGAATGGAAGCCAATATAATTCTTATTTTTTTTTCAAGTAAAAATTTCGGGTGTCTATAGAGAAATTTAAGTTTAGTAAAACTTTATAGAGTACTTTTGAAGCTTGACGCTGCCCTCTCTTCTTTTCTCTGTACAGTTCTCTATACAGTATTATTAAACCTAAAAATAAATAGTTTTCATATGCACATAGAGTTGATACAAGTAAAAAAGCCCCAGGCATTTCAGCCGAGAGTCGCGTGTCAGAATGTTACGAATATCAAACCAAGTCGCTAGTCAAGAAAGGCAAGTCTCGAGTCAAGTCCATTAAAATGACCCGACCCGAGCCTTCACCACTAGAATAAAATATCAAAATATTAAATTTTCCGCAGACTTAAGGCTTCCCCATCGCAAGCCATCAGGGGTTAAATTCTCATATATAATGAATGAGTAGAAGCATGTGAAGGTGTCTACTTACTAAAGTCGAGGACGGCGAGACTGTAGGACCCTGACGCCCTGACGACTGCGGCGAGATTAACAAATCCAGTATCCAGTGAGTAACAGGTTGACTCGGTGAAATCCTTCCTATGGGTTGAGAAGACGACGTAACCTTCCAATGTTGTCGGACAGGAATATCAACAATTTTATTTACTTTTTCGTTTCTTTGTGTTTTCGTAAACAGTCCATAGAGTAATCACATAAAGTTTATTATTTATTTTACAACTAGATGAAATTCGGACAATGAAATAATGTTACAATCAACTTGTGATTAACTTTCAACTTCCTTAGCAGCGAGTTCCCGCATTTTGTGGTTGCCAACTAGTTGTTACTGCTAGCTATGGGTTATGTAGGGCAGAGTAGGAGAGATTTTTTTTTGCGCGTATAACGGAAATTTTCCCACCCGGGCACAGGTCATCGGCTCCCATAGAAGCCTGGGGGCGAAATTTTTTTAACCATAAAAAAAACAGATCAAGAATTAGAAATTATATATATATATATATATATATATATATATATATATATATATATATATATATATATATACACACAGGGAAAACGGAAACAACGGAGCACCTTAGCTTTCGTCTATATTCAAGACATCTCCAGAGGCATCTGAATTACATGGACAGAGAGAGGCTTAAGTACACAGGGTGACCTTACTAAGCATGAGGTCAGGTCATAAACATGACATCCACTAATCCACACACCAACACCACCACACACGCAAAGGAGCTTAAGAGAAAGGGCGAAGTGACTAGTCATGTTAAGTCAGGTAAAAAATATATGAGACCCAAATTTACACAATTTTATTTGTCAGTGGCCCAAGGTTAAAATTGCTTTGAAAGCAGGAAAAAAAATTCGCTGCCCGGGTGGGCTAATCCCCTTAAAAAAAATCCAATTCCACAGCGAACCCCATGGCAGGAAGTACCTCCCTGTTTGACAGCTAACCACTGGTTTTTCTTCGTATATAATATTCATATTTCTAAACTTGTGTAATCCACTAAGAAACTGCTCATTGTTGTATTTTATGAAGTAGGGATAAGCTTGTAATGGTTGTCTCGAGCTGTTTCTCCAGAAAACCGTGAGGGCAAACTTTTTTGGAGTAAGGGTTGTAAACTCTTGGAACAATCTACCAGAGTGTTGTGACGGCACCGAGTGTGAGCTCTTTCAAGACAAGACTTGACCAACACTGGATAGGGTTCAGGTACATTCAGGAGCCGGTGCATGCCCAGTATTTGCCAACAGTGCGTGACAGAGACGTGACCGATCGCCCGGGCGGCTAACGAGCCGATCTTTTGATGAAGATAAATGACAAGGAAAAGTAATCCAGAGACGTGACCGAAGCGGCTAACAAGCCGATCAGTGGCGAAGAGGATAAAAGTAAATGTTTACAAGTCTACTGCATATGTTTATACATTGAATCAGTGTGAACCTGTACAGTAGTTTTTACGACACATAGATTTACCTATCTATAAAAGAGATACTGTAAGGCATTCACCACCCCCCGCCACCTGGCCAACATTCCCGCATATCAACAAAAAGCCGACCTCTCAGCCGCCGGCCCAAACACGTATAATTATAAAAACAGGTCAAGTCCAGCAACTTGCCAGGTTTATCTGTGCGAAGCACACACACACACACACACACAGAAAAATCAGAATAAATAATATTTATACAAGATACTTTTTGTGAAGTAAAACCGGAAATTCAATCTGTTATTATAAGTCTACTAACGGCAGCTGAAATCGATGGTTTCCGTGTCTTGGTAGCGGTAGATATTTATTCAGTAAAACATGTCATGCAGGCTCATATTAGCTCAACATCTGGATCAACAGCATTATAGTTGTGACCAACATTATAGTAGTGATCACCATCATTATAGTAGTGATCATCAACATTATAATAGTGATCGCCAACTTTATAGTAGTGATCACCAATTTTATAGTAGTTACTTCTGTATATTTAAATTAACGATAACATACATTTATATACCTGGTACATTTGTATGAATTGAATTACTCATACATGTGTTCAAACATACGTAAATGGAATGCCAACTGACAGTCAGTTACTGACTCAGTGTGGTAGTGAAGGAAGCACGACGAAGAGATGGCGCTTTATTCTTCACGTTTCGCCACAAGACTTTTTCAAAGGAACGATTACACAAACGTAAATCCCAAGTGAACTGGGGTGACGAAGGTTCGGTGGAAGGACACCAAGTGGACTGGAGTGAGTAGTAGGAGTAGAAATAGCACGCCTGATTGCTACAGGATTGTAGTAACAGACCCTCAGCAGCACGGTTGAGGCGACAGGAACCACACAGGCGCAGCTCGAACCAAGTAGCCCGGTATAGGCCCCGCCCAGTAGAAAAGGAAGAAGTAGGTTAGTAGTAGAGTTGTTTGGTGACAGGTGAAGATGCAGACTTTGAGCTTATGCCAAAGATGGAGAGGAAGAGTTTTGAATATCTCAGAGTATTTGTTGCATGGAGGAATGAGGGTATCATCGTAGAATTTTTTTTAAGAAGAATGTGGGGATAAGCGTGTGGGGTTTTTGGATTTGTGTTCACACTCAAGATGGGTTGGAGAAAGGAAACTCACAATGTGCTCTCTGTTTACATGTTGTATTGGATGTACAATGCAGCTTGGTACTGGGAAGGCAGCATGGTTACAAGCGTGATGTAGAGAGAGCTGGTTGGTGAGGATGCTCAGAGGAGGACAGCTTGTGGGTCGCCATGCTCGCCGGCGGGAGCGAGTACCGCCAGGCAGGCGGAGGAGGAGGAGGAGGTGTTGCTGGCTGGTTGGTGTAGGTAGAAAGAGAGGTCACCACGAGGTCAGGTCTTAAATAGCGGGGGGTAGGCGTGGCTTAGTAGTTGACCTCCGCTCCGTGATGTATGGCGGCGCTGGTTGACCGAGACCACGAGGCACACACTGGAATTCGTGGGGTCGGCTACGCAGCGACAAACAGCGTTTGTAGGGGAGAAATCCACTACAAGCGCTCTGTATCTGCTTAGGAATAACCGAAACTCGGATAAACCTCATTGGTTACGATATTGCTATTGCACCATCACAGTTTGAGTGAAGTGGTGAGAAGAAAATATCTGAACTCAGCGGCTTGATATGGTGTACCTAGATTATTCTCAGGCTGCCCAGGTGCAGATATAGGAGTGGTATCGTTGTTTGTGTTGGTAGAGGGGGTGGGTATGGTGTATTGGGCCTGTTTAGTACGGAGGGGTTCCTGTTTCTGTATCTGCGGTGAAGTATTCCTGCCATTGTGGGTGTGTGGTTAAGAGGCTTTCTATCTGTTTGTCACCCAATAGTCTCCAGTAGATGTTGAGAGGTGGAATGTTGCTGTGTTCATGGAGGTGTTCGTTTGTGGATGTCCAGCGTGTGTTGTGTTTGAACTTCAGTGCTTTATTCTGTATGACTTGAAGTTTCTTGATGTTGGTTGGTGCTGCTAATTGGAGTGTTTTGGGAGCGTATGTTAACAGGGGGCGTATAGTGCTTTGTACAAGTGTGTTTGGGTTTTTGTTGTTGCACTTCTGAATCTTTGTACTATTTATGTGAGTGCCTTTTGTGATATTGCTGCTTTGGTGATGATATGGTGTTTCATGGTGAGGGTGTAGTCGAATGTTACTCCTAGTACTCTGTTTGTCTGTTTTATAGGTATGGGTGTTGGGTTGTTGGGTGTATGGGTTTAGGTATATCTGGCGAGTATGATGTCTTTTTGTGCCAAAGTTGGTGATTTGTGATTTGTTGGAGTTTGTTTGTATAAGCCATTTGAATTCCCACTTTGTGATCTGTGAAGAGTTCCCTACGTGTTTTTGTTTTTTATGTAAGGTTAGTGAGTCAGTATGTATGGTGTCAGGCAGGTCATTAGTGTAAAGTACAGTGTTGGGGAGCTGACTGAGCCTTTTGATACTCTGGGGGAAGAGGTCTGAATTTTCGTGTTTGAATTTAATTTTAATTTGCTTGTCTGTCATATTACACAATATGGGTTACTGACGTTTATACACAGAATTTGGACTGCGATGGTGGACAGGGCGAAGTCCATTGGTCATTTGGTGTCACTATTGTTTGTTTTCTCCGCCAATCACGTGCTGCCATCTGGGTCACTGTGTGCGACCAGGATCACCCAGCCTGTTTTGGTGCCGATGGTTGGATGCAGCGTGATGTAAGCTGCTTCCAGGGCTTTTCTGGTCTTCTTGTTCTTGCCCTTGCGCAAGACATAGGCGCCTTCCTATCTGGGCAGATGTCCCTCAGTGTCTATGTGATTGACGAAGACGCTGGTTGTCCTGTGGTGTCTAAGATCCGCTCGGTGTTCTCGTAGTCTAGACCTGTTTGTCTCTCCGTACTATGTCTTGTTGCAAGAGCCACAAGATATACTGTACACAATGCTCTCGGTTTTTGTCTGGTCTTTCGGACAATGTCTCTGATTATGGTTCCTGGCGTGATGGCCGGAATGTAGTAGTTAGTCTGTAGCGAAGGGGTATAGGTAATACACGAAGCAGAGATCCACGGTATTAGTAATACCTAACTCCATCTCTGGCCTCAACTAGATAATCTTATTTATTTATTTTGAGTGCTGGCCTGTGATGGCACTAAGGGAAGGAGTGCTGGTCTGTTACACCACTGATCAGCACTCCTCTTTCCTAATAAAGTAAATTCGTCTTAAATATTGACCCAAACCCTCCAATTTATATTTACATTTCATTACGTTTACCAATGCTTTTTTATAAACCTTCGTCCACACCTACTGGAACCTAAGGCAAATGTTTACTTTCACCTGTTTGATGCAGTAGTATGATTGGACACACCCGTTTGTTGACAGTTTCTTGTTTACTCAGGTGAAGCTGCGTATTAATTCATAACTATTTTATTAAAAAAATGGTGGGGGGACGTAGGAGAGGAGGAAGATATAAGGATAGGTAGATAGAAGAAAAATGATTATATGAGAGAAGTAGAGAGAAACAAAGGGGAGGAAGGGAGAGGGAAATCTGGCCACGTACAACAAATGGTAATCATCGGAACACCTGTGATATTACCTCCTCTTTATGAGTACCACACTACACCCGCCACCACACTACACCCACCACCACACTACACCCGCCACCACACTACACCCACCACCACACTA